TCCAGTACCATCCAGGTATCCCAGTTACCCTGCTCACAGGGTCTAGTTTTGTCGTCTTTTTTTTCCACCGCCAAGAAATGGAAAAATTGCGCAATGGTACCCAGTGGTCATTGGGCCCTCAGCACCATGACAACTAACTGTGTTCCAATGAGGTGTTCACATGCTGATCACGCGTGTTATCTTGACGATGATTGACGTTGTCATGCACGGACAGGGCCGGGTCACATGACGAACCACGAAATTTTTTGCTTATAAAACTCTTTGGTCAGTTATTTTGTATTTTAACTTGATTGGATTATGATCACCTGGAGCATTATGGCGCTAACGCTCAAAATACTTACAGACGCATACACAAGTCGTATTGTTCGCGGCCAATCCACACTAAAAGATGTTATTGAGCGGTAATTTTGGAACGGATTGAGTCGCCAACGCTTGAAAGCCATGAAATATTTGAATGCCTTGTATGCCTTGTATGCCTTGTCATTTATGCCAAATATGCCAATGTCTTAGTTGAAAAACGTACACTTGTTGTAAAAAGCAAAATCTGAAATCTGAAACCAAACTTCACATACTCTATGCAATCTATTGAACAACACTACTACCGTGAGACTGAAGAACAAAACTCTAATAGATGCAAACTGTTCGTGAAGAAAGACGCCATATTGGATTCACTTGATGCCAGGGAACGTAGCCACGATAACAGTGCGAATGGTATTAATTTCACGATCAGAAAGGTGAATCTTATGTTTGTTTTCATTGTAGTTGTATGGATATTCTTTTTTAATAAATACATGATCCAAAATCCTGTGTTTTTTGTGTATAATGTTATTATACACCCGTTATTGAGGTTGTCTTCGAGCAAAAGTACTTGTCAAATTGGGTCAGGATAAGTGGGGGGGGGGGCCTGCAGTTCGCAGTAAAGGCTAGTGCTCCCTTGAGGGGTGGCTCAGAGAACTAATTCAAGGAGCAACATAAATAACAAGTTAAGGAGTAAACCACATAGGTGAAATTATACGTCATCTCATTCGTAATGTAACCTGTAACTATAATAATACTATAACTTGAGTCCATTCCATAAGAGTAACTTTAATATTTTTTAAATAATTTAAATAAGTATGTCTTGTTAGACGTTTTGTTGTGTAGTATCGCTGAGTATTTTTATGAGTTGTGCCGTATTTTGACGAGCCTGTAGGACGAGTCAAAATACAAATAACGAGAAATCCTTTATTAGCCTACTTGTGTGGTCAAGATGGCTAGATAATTTCCTAGTTCAATTTTTCCGTGTTTATCTACCCCGACTTCGTTTAGGTCCTGGTGTTGTAGAAAAGTAGCCTTAACTACAAAAGGAAAACGTTTGCCAAAACGCTTAGTCAGGCCGCAAAACACATGACATTGTTCGTTATGCTTTGTTGTATAAACGTCTACAACGCTTTCTTATGGGGTTCTTCAAAACGAACACCTATCTACATGATGTATTTGGGCGCCCGGCAGAGCATTCAGGCGAAGGTATTTGTTTTTTAGTTTAACCAAGCTTTTTCTGCAAAACTACCACTGAGGGAATTGCAGTCGTTTCGGTAACGACACAGTTCGCTAACGGTTTAGGCGGGTTCACTAACGTTTCAGTTGACTAACTTATCATCATAGGTTCTTTCGCTGATGTCATAGGTTATTTCATTAACGTCTCTTTCTAGTTTTGTTTTCTTTGAAATAGCGACAATTAAATTGTTGTAATGTAAACATATCTGTAAGATCGACCAAAAATGGACTGGGATCAACCTGCTGAAGTCGTCTCAAATGGAATCTGTCGATGTATCGAATCGATTGTGAAGATGTATCGAGTCGAATTCAATTTGTCTTGAATCGACTTGTATCAAATCGACTTTCAGTTTGTACTGAATCGACTAAACTTCCCCTAGAACTTTGCGGTCGATTAAAAGTCAATCAAGTTCTGCCAGAAGGGAGTGACGTCACTTTATCACGTGATAATACCTGTTCAGCTACTCATTGGACACTACTATCACACATAATATTAACCTAGAGTAATTGTAGTTTTCAAAAATGCAGGATAGGATTTGACCCCTGAGTGGTACCGAAAGGCCATCGTTGAGGCCCTGGCCCATGGACTATCTCCTTATGCTGTCACTTTCCAACAAGATCTAATTATCATGTCACTCTCAAATCCACTGTACACTGAACCTAGCAAGGGCATCCTTTTTATTTGTTATTAACTGAGAATGCGAAAGCTGGACCTTTAACTAATAGAAAAAAAACCTCTTTATTCTACACTTTTCTTCCTCCCTCCCCCCTGGTCCTTAAATTGTCGTAAATAAACTCAACATTTGCCTGTGAATAGTTCCAACAAAGCAATATGCAATAAAAATTACTGAGCTAACTCGAGCTCCGCTTTGTGACTTGGCTGAATCTATACATCATTTGGCGTCTTTCTTTGTGCATCTTTCTTAACAAATTTAAGCAATAGAAGTCTCCATAGTAGAACCAGTGAGATTGACATTCGTCCACACCGAGTATATGAGATATCCATATCCATGGTTAAATTTTTATTGGACTTTTTTCAAATTGTGGTATCATTGTACCAAGATGCATCCCACAACCTTGATGTATTTGTCTCCGTTATCTGGATACCACTTAGCCACATTGCAACATGTGTTCAGGTCATCGGGGTATCCTCTTGTGCCAAATCCAATCCTTGAGTCACACGCACCGCAGTCATCATATTTGTTGCCAACAATACCAATTCTGGCTTTAGAATGTTTGCTCCAACTACAAACGGCATTGAACCCTTCCTTGTTGCAGTAGTACTGTAAATAGGCTTGTGAGCCAATTAACGCCTTCCACGCGTCACGACTCAATGAGGTGACGCGGTATTGCCCATCAGCGATCAGTGAGTACAAAGAGTCGGCCTGCTTGCTGATGACAATGTACCTAAGTTGATGTCAGATCTTCATACCGAGACAGATCTTGGAGAAGGATGTGTTCCAGTAGGTGGGCAGCTTTGGTTCTTGTCCGTCGAACCCAGTCTCCCCTCCGGGAAGGTTGTATTCTTTATAATCACTCTAGTATTGTGCAATTAAAAGTGGCCTGGAAAAAAATTTAAAAAATTTCTTCGTTACTTCTGTAATATTCATCATACAAACAAATTCAAGTTATCCCACACTTGTTCAACATTTGAAAAGGATTTCTTTTTCCATGGGAAACTATAATTGTTAGTTGATCTATGGTCATGAGAATAAATGTTCTTGGTATTGTTGTTTCTGTCCTTATAATCATCATCTCAACCTGTGTTTATCTAAAATTCATAAGAATCGTTATCAGAAATTTTAAAAAAGTGGAAAAGTTACGCATATTAGTCTCTAAATTTGTCTTCTCTAAAACCTTTAACTTTTCGAGCTTTGAGCCATTTGTATTATAAGTTCCGTATAAAGGGGCGTAGCGTGAGGCTTTGAAGGTGTTCACAGCGTGGAAATTGGGAGCGCCGAAGGCGCCCCAAACCAGGGGGGTCTAGGGGCATGCTCCCCCAGAAAATTTTGAAATTTAGGGTCTCGAAAATGCCATTTCCAACTATTTCCGCGGATCTTTAATTGTTTCTTGGGGTTTTCAGGCTTTACACAGTCAATGACTTCAGTTGCATTTGCATATATATATATTCCTGATCTGAGTTGAGTGCAATTATTTCTGGAGCCACACAGCATTTAGGGGTAACTTGTCCTTAAAAAATAACCCTGGACAGGGGATTGGGGAAAGGCGAGGACCGCAGAGGGTCGAATTTTTTCTTTCGTTTTCACCACCATTACTTTACGACAACAATAACTTTATTAGCCCTTATATTTAGTAAAGAATACATTTACATCAAATAACAATTAAAGCTAAAAGGGTGTTGGCTTCCTAAAATAACTAGAGAGTTAACAAGTCTAGGAAGCCAAGTAACGTTTCTTGTCGTTTATGGACTAATGAAAAGGTACTGGAAAAACAAACACACACACCATTATAATTCGAAATTTAAAAATCGATCTTATTTTTATGGTAACTGTAACAAATGCTATAAGGGAATAAAAAATTTTTTTTTCCACGGGCGTACGTGCGCATATGGACGCTACGCCCCTGGTATACAGTATGCTTTGTAACACTGGAAGATTTGTGGCTGGGCCATAAATTTGCTTTAGCTATGATACAAATTAGGAAACCAGTGCAAAATGTACAAAAGAGTACAAAATGCACCTTATTGCCGTCAATTTTCCTGACCGTCGTCCCTCCTCCAACTCCACATCCAAAATCTCACATTTGACAGAGAACAGAGACTGGTTTGGAGTCCAAACAGAGGGTAACCAGTTGATTATCATCGTGTTTATGATTTAGTTTTTTTTTTACGATTTATGGTAAATAAAGGTTCTTAATATTGTTGTTTCCGACCTTAGAATCATCATCTCAACCTTTAGTTATCCCAAAGTTAACAGCATCGTTTCCTTAAATCAACAGAAATTAAACCCTTTAACTGGGCTATCTGAGTTGGTAGTTAGTTCCGTATACAGTATGCTTTGTAACACTAGTCCAAAAGATTTGCAGCTAGGCCATACATCAGCTCTTTTATGTTTTCAGATCGGTTCCCATGAATTACTATTTTAAGTAATCTTTATGTGCACTCTATGTGACTAATTATACTTTATGTGCACTCTATGTGACAGATAGAGGTTATTTTCAAGATTCGCTCTTTTTCAAGCTTTAATCATTAGAAGATGTAGAATGGAATGTTATGTAATTCAAATATCTTTTTGTAGGGAATTTCAAACGAGTTTTTTTCAAGCCCATCATCAATCTCCTCACATTTTTGTTATCAATTTCTTTTTGATGTTCTCTTTGGAAAAACGATCATTAGACATAGATTAGGAATACATGCAGGTATCTTGGAAACAAGACGCTTAGACCAAGTGTACTGTCATAGCAATTTATTTATGCAAGTTCGTTTATTTTCTGTTTTATAGCTACCACCTTCGAACCTACATTTTTGGCCAGCTTTTTCATATTCATTTATATGGTATTTCTCTTTCTTAGATACATCAAAACTATGCAGACAGAGATGTCATCTATTGGTTCTTTAGTAATTTAAAAATGGTTTTAAGAGTAGACGGTATCAATATAGCTATACAATTTCAAGATGTAGATTTTTTGAATCGTGCAGTTTCACTATATAACATAAGACAATTTTTAGATTGTTTTCATGACATGCAAGAAGGAGAGTTATACCCATATGAATGGTTAGCCATTATGTGGTCAAGCAATGACCATGAAATTAATTTTTATACAATTTATTTTTAGACTGAATCTCCATTGGAGGACATTGTGGATTTTTTGGAAACATTTAAATCATTATTATGGTGGTATGATATCCAAGATGAAATCTATGTCCTTTTTAATCAGTTTAGGTTTTTTATGATTGTCACCCATATTTATAATATTATACCCTGAATAAGTTTTGGTTTCGTCGAGTATGATGAAGATGTAGCGCCACCTATATTATTATAAATTATATATATATATTATATATATATATATATATATAATATATTATATATATTATAATTCATTATGATTATATATGGTTAACCACCAATTACCACAGAGATACTCATAAGGTCATACATATTTTTTCTTGATTGTATTCCTCAGTTATCCTTTTTGTAACGCTAGATTTTTTAAACTTTTTCAGATTGAGTATCCCTTTATGGATTACTACAAATTTTTATTTACGCTATGGATCTTTTTATATCATCAAGATCCCGAGGATGAAATTCTGGTTCTTTTAAACCATTTTGATTTTTTTATGAATGTCAATTACGTTTATAATGTCATGAACATTATCTGTTTCAATTTTGTCCCCTATCAAGAGGTACCACCACATCTAGAGAATTGTACATGGTTAGATACCATTCCCAACAGAAACAGTCATAACATTTTTCATTTTTATTGTATTCCATTTGTATAAAAATAAACTTTACCTTGGTTTTTACATGTTTGTTGTCTTATCTATGATCTAACTCGTGAAATGCAGAAAAAAAAGCCGTCTGCCATTTCTTTATCCCAGTTAGTATAGTAAATAAATCGTTCGTTTCCATAGGGGTGGTAAATGTGTCGCAAGGCATCGCGGAATATAATGTCATGATGTCTCTCCCGTAATTTCAACTCCTGAATTTCTTTCTGATACCTTTCCACATCCTGTGCATGTTTCAAGTAATATATCAAACACGAGGAAGAGTGTTTCATCCGATATCCAAACACCGAGAAGTGGTTGAGAAAACGAGGCGCAGTCGAGTTTTTTTTAACCAACTTCAAGGTGTTTGGATATCGGATGAAACACCCTTTCGAATGTTTGATATAGCTTCTTAAACCATTAATAATTCTTGGAGAAAATCAAAGCAAAAGTTCACCAGATTTTATGATAATTAAGATCACATATCCAAACCTCCTTCACGGTTGTAATTTCCTTTGTTTTCTCAGCATGAATTATTAATGAGTTTGAGAATGCTTGCTGACGAATCTTGCGCTTAAGGCGACGCACTTTTTTACCATGTGAAGATCCTCCCATCTTCTATAAACACTTTTAATACACGAAACAGGTTTCTTATGCGACGGCGTCGTGTTTTCTTGCCCCTTTTAGACATGTGCATCCAAGACGGTACTTAGATTTGTGACCATAGAAATTCTCTCTACTGTTTTTACCTTAAATTGAGATTCAAGGTAAAAACATACCAACGTGATGAATATTTGACGGTTGTCATGGCTTGAATCTCACCCACCAATTGAGGCACACTTTTCTCACAATTTTTCCAACTGTCGTAGGCTTTCTTGACATCCTCAAACTCATGCCCCCATTCTTGGATCCTCTTTCCCAAACGGCCGAAATCAAACCAGTGTGTAAATATATTCATTTACCCATGAGCTTCCACGGGTGACGCAAAATGTTGCATTTTATCCAAAATGGTTTCGTGAATCATTTCTTCACAAAACCACTCGTAATCTTCGCGACCTGTAGGATCCCCATGGTGGCGTTTAGGAATGTCATCTTGACGTTTAAAGACTTCGCGTGAAACATTTAAAAACATCCAGATATCGTGGTAATCTTGGACACACGAGACCATGCGATGTCTTACCTCTTCAAATGGGCTTTCTTCCCATCCCAAAATCTGAAGTAACAAGACACGAGCGCGACCTGTCTTTTTACTCTCATCTATATCGAATTTGTACTCACGGTGTGGACAGGCTTAACTGCGATAGGTCAATTCTTTAGTAGTATTGGGAGCTCCATCACAAGCCATGAGTTCAAAACAACTAAGAGTATATATATATGAAACACGCTTTACTATTTATCGTTCCGGTGTATCTCTACATTCTTCACAATCGCAGGGTTCGCGATTCATTTTTCTTTCTTCCAAAAGTCTGAGGAAATCCATCAATGCATCCATGACACGATTTCTCTTTTCTACATACTCGGGATCGTCTTCGTCAGGAGGTAGTGTGTAATCTTCTTTTAACATACGTCTCAGATCGTCGTCGTCTGCTTCATTCTCTATGGTGTCTAAAGTGTCATCGATATGCCAAAGAAGACCCCGGGTTGGAACGTATTGACCTTGTGCTTTACTTTTATACAGATGTGATGTGAGTTAGGAGATACTCATTCGTTCTTCATTAACAAGCTGACGTAATGCACAATTACAATGGGGACATTGTAGGGTAGGATAGGGTGTGAAATACCAACAATGAATACATTGATACCAAAAGACCGTAGGTGTAGAGGTGTACCATCCTTGACTGGTCAAATACGTCTTGTGAATTTAGGCACCTGTGAGAAAATTTTCTATCCCCGACGACACACTCTATGTGAATAATAAAAGTAAAAAGCCTTTATACGATCCCAAGTGGCCCATGGGGCTGGTGCTTAACTCCGGTTTTCTTAGCATGAAGCGGCTAGGAGTATTGCTACTCCCCCTTGGATGGGATGCTAGTCCATCGCAGGGTTACCTCCAGCACATTTGCTGGTACCTATTTGTACACCTGGGTGAAGAGAAGCACTGTGAGAGTAAAGTGTCCTGCCTAATAACACAACACAATGACCCCGGCCAGGGCTCGAACCCGGACCACCTGATCCGGAGTCAAGAAAGAATCTTTTCCAAACGTGTAGGTCGTATTCTGTTTTTTTCACCGTGTTTTCTGGACGTTGTGTTAAAATATACTTTTGCACACTAGCTATCGTAAACTGAGCCTTTTGTTGGTTTTCTTTATGTTGCGAACCGATATTTTCTTTGTCACTGAACTTTTCTACCTCATCAGGGTAATAAAACACGCTCTCGCTGTGGTTTGAGTCCAGGCCGAAATTAATATTTACCGTAAAAAGTGAAAAATTTACACGATAAGTAAATGAAAAGTTGCAACTACGCAATTGATGTAATATCATCATGCAAAGGATCGGATACCGCCCGCTGTGAGCGGGCCGAATGGGGAGAATACTGCCCGCTCTCGGAACCAATCAGATTGTAGGATTTGTAGAATACCCCCCCGCTCACGAACTGAGAAAAAAATAATTTCTCAATATAAATCCTTAGTATGTTAATTGTCTTTGTTTTGAGCTCATTACCCTCATCAAAATATGAAGGGAGGAATATTTAAACACAGACCAAGCTTCTCCATTTTATCTGCGATATTAAAGCCCTTGTCTGCCATGATAGCATCCTCTTTCAGCAATTCCACAGTGAGTAGTATCGCTTTAAGAGTATCCAGGGAATCCAGACCCTAAAATAATCTGCTTGTCTGAAATAGACCGGCCTCATAGAACCTTGTAATACCTTCGGACGCAGTATCTGTGCGTCTACTTCTAATAACCTTTCTTTCTCCACCTTGCCTCTGGCTAAATTATCTTGTATCTTTTCTCTCTTATTCGTATCTTTTGTCCAAGCAAAGATAGAAGGAACTGCTCCTTTTTTCCGTCGGCGTTTTTTAGTAGCTGGATCGACCAAATCTTCACATCGGAAGTGGGCACTACAAATCTTTGCGTGTACCAAGCTGCATTGAAATAGCCTGGATCTCTTCTCATTTTCATTCCGATGAGACAGTTAAGACTTGTCAACATAAAATCCTATGTTGTCTATCAAAGGTATGCACAATAACAGTGAGGTATCGAGGCATTACGTTTGACAATGAACCACGTGCGAGGCGAATTGTTGTTTCGTTGTAGTACACATTTCTAATCACGTGACATCTTTTACATTCAATGAAGGGAGAGTGCATTGTGGAACGAGCTCAATTACACATTGTGATCTTGTCAGCGTTTTCTCCTACTATCAAGATTTCTGGAAAGATTTTTGAAATCCCTGTCGGTTTTATTTACGATCATCAGTTATTGTGAATGGCGTCCAAGAACACAACAAAGGTAAGATCCTATTTAATCGGCAGATGTTCACTTGAATGCATTCAGCTCATGGACTTAAAAGAAAAGAACTTCAGTATAGTTTTGCACGAATGTTACTGAATAAGCAATGTACGATCAGTTGATAACAGTTAGTTAAAAGAGAGTTATGAAAGCCTGAGGTTGGCCAACCCTCACTATAAACATTCAGAGCGGAAAGCTAGTTTAATACAAATGAGGTCGAAGACAACCTGTATTTAGTGATTCCCATCGCGATTTGCGCGACTTAATGTTAGTACATTTAAACCTGTATTAGTTGGCCACCTGATGCAGGTTGACCGCTCTGCACAGGTTTCACAGAGGAGGAGTAATATATAAAAATGCGATGAAAATGCCATTTTATGCCATAGTTGACCACTTAATGTATAAACACTCTCTCAAAAATACTTCCAACATTGATTTTGGGAGAGAAACATGGATCAAATTTTAATGGAAAGATTATTTCTAGTTTTATTTGAGTGGTTCTAAAATAAGGTGACCAATCAATAGAGGTGAAAAGTGATTAAGGGGAAACAAACTCAGGACTTTGACAACTGACCACTTAATACAGGCTGACCACTTTATACAGGTTCAGCTAGTAATAACCAAAGTGAGCGAGGACAATGCCTGGTGTTGTTGGGTAAATAAAAGTTTTATTCTACAAGGTATGGTCAGTGGGGGATGCCCAGTACTTATTATGATAAGGGCATGTAAAACTTGTTGACATGGTCTATTAATAATTTGGTCATATGAACTGTTTTCAGCACTTGCCTTAGAAGCATTTGTATGCATTTGAGATATGTGTCTATTGTCTAGATTCATACCACCAGAAAATGATTTTTAAAGTATAACCCTAGAGGAGTTTTCAATTAAGACTTTGAATTATCACACTATAATTTTGGAAAAAAATTCTTTCTAACTATAAATTTTCCTCGCATTTAGCTTTGATCCAAAGTGATAGTAGAGAACACAACTTTCATAGCAGTATCTTGGAATTTGGAGACCAGATTTTAAACCTTTTGCAGAAGTAATGAAGTCCTGATGACCTAGAAAAATAATTTTGGAAAATAAGTTTAACTTGTTTTCTCTTCTGTCTGTGTTCTATAAAGTGAAACAATTTCAAAACCTGTGAGGGTTCCCTGTCTCTTTTATCACTTCGAACTGAACTGGCAGAATGACCGAGTATTTTTCAGCTAAATTAAACATTTCTACATCATCGCAAGAAGAGAATTCATGCAGATTTGTTAATAAGTAAACTGGCAGCCAGCAATTCAGCTAAACTTGGACTGGCTTTAACAAAAGACCTGGACTTATATTGTACATCATGATAGCTTTGCTTTTGCTAAGATTTGTACTGAAACACCTTGGCTTCAGTGTGAAAAACTGATACACTGTATCAAGGTCTGTGTTTAATGTGTGGCTTATATCAATATAGTTGACTTGTTTCTTGGTGTACAAGTGGTTGGGTGGTGTAATTGTGGCAAAGCTGTGCTAATATTTCTCAAGCAAACTGGTTTTATGCTTGATGTTCTTCCCAAGACTTCCACACTGTAGTTCTTCCCAATAAATACCATTGTTCTCATTTTCTAATGTTTTTTTCATTATAAAAAAGTCTCCATGTTGTTTGCAAATACATCAAATTAATTCAATGGTAGATGAGGTTTACTGAAAGTGGACAGCAGTTATTTTTCTGGAGAGAAGAAGGATATATATATCAGTCATTTGAATAGATAAAATGTGACTCTTGCCTTACAGTAGTGGGAGCTGTGTTGTAGTAGTTTCACTTTGTAAAGGTCTGTAGTAGTAAAATCAGATTTGTAATAATTGGTCAGTGTCATAATATTTTTCATTTAAAAGTGCTTACCTTTTCGCCATGTTGCATCTCTGTTGATATCTTGTTCCTTACACTGATTGGTAATTATAGATAATACGAATTCCCTGCATTTCTTCTCCTCATCTTGGCCTTTCATATGTTAGAAGCCAGCAGTCTTGAACAATTCTCTAAAAAGGACATTTTGGATGGTCACTAGAGGGAAAAAAGCCTTCACACAGAAGTGTGTTAACATTTTCATTCACTTTTTGAGACTTTTCAGACTTAAAGATCCATTTAAAAATTATTATATAAATTTTTATTATGCAGTTTTCCAGTTATTTTATTTGTATATTTCTACAGTTTGTCTCATATGTCAGCACACCTAGAGGGTAGTTCACAAGTGATAAAACAGCTGTAATGCATCACCTGCCTATGTTTGTAGTTGATAGTCACATTTGTTTTAAATCAACAGTTACGATCCTTGGTTTTCAAGTGACATCATAAAAACTCCAAAATAACAAGGGCTATTTCAGTTTTAGCTCTGTTAGACAAAACCTCCTAAACATTAACCTTTTGGAAAGGCTTTAGTGTTGTGGTTTCTCCATTTTGAAAACAGGTGTGAGATTGTGACAGATACTTGAAAAAAATGTTTCAAAGTTTGTTTGGAAGCTTTTGAAATGGGCCATAATTTCCCTCTAAAGTCCACAGTCATTTGTAGGACCTGTGAAATATATCATATAATATGATATAATACATCATTAAGAGCTACTGCCCTGGTAATCACAAAAGCACCATTATTTAAACCTAGATTGCCTTCTTTTGTTTCCCCCTGATTGTTGAATCAAATAAGCAAGAGATGAATAAGATGGAAAGGAGACTTTGTTTCTTCACAACAAAGATTCTTAGGAAAGATTCAAAATGCAGACATCTGTTACTAAATCTTTGGAGTGTTTGAAGACAATTAAAAAAAATAGAGTTCTCTTTGAAATCTTGTGCTATTGTTAGTGTCACAACATCATATTTGCTTTTCAATGGTGGATCATATCTCTCCTCCAAATAACTATGGCCAACTCTCTGAGACTCTTGAGGTAGGGGGCTTTTTGGAAATTGCATCTACACAGTCAAAGGGGTGAATGTTGTCTTCCTGTCCCTGCAGCTCCAAATAGCGAACTGTAGTCCAATATACCAATACAGACCATCTTTTTTATGACCAGTTATTATCTTATCCACCTCTAGAAATCTAGTACTCTCACAAACCCAGGCTTTGCAGCATACTGAAACTCTGCACTGTTCTACAATGTGGGCTTTTAAGATAATGCAGTAATGATGTGTTATTATCTGAACATGAGGATGGCTTGCAACCACAATTAATGAGGTTGTCAATTGGGTGGCAGAACTCTTTAGACAACTTATTCACAACTAAGGTTCCCCTTTGCTAGTGGGTGTTGTTTTCTTCATGATAAGGCTGCTTGAATTCATTATTGGTGGTTATGGATCCATATGTGCATGGATCAAGATTCTGATACACTAAAGTATGTATGGTATTGTCATCTCGTATTTGAGCATCTCCATTGTGCCACATCAAAGGCTTGACATTTTGCTTGGTTTACTTGCAGTAGTTTTAAACTTGACCTAACATAACTCTTGACTTTGTAGTAGTAGTGGTAACAGGATTGAGTGGAGAACAATTGAGGTGGTAATTGGGTGAGTGATTTCTAATTTGCTGAGTGCACTCTGTGGGGCTAATTTGAAATCACGAACATGATCACTCCAGAATTGTATGACACAGAGTCAGATTACCAATGAATTGTGTCAATAACAAAATGCCAGAAACTCGGGAGTGAAAAATTTAGCATAAGCATATACTTTCATCACTGAGGCTAAAAAATAGTCCTTGAGCCACTATATTTTGTCCTTGTTTGTTTTCAATGTGAACCTTTCAACCTGCTCACTTAAGAATTCCTCTCCATTTTGTTTGGCTAGCATTGGCTAGGTAGTTGAGTTTTGTCACCTGATTGTTTAAGGTATTGGTACTTAATTTGTATTGGCTGCTTAACTGTCTGATTTGGCCTGTTTAAGTGTCTGTAATTGGACAGATAGAATTAAAAGAATTAAATAGCCAAATATGTCACAAATATGGAATGCTGAGAACCAATCATTAGTGAGCATTTTGTTATTGACACAATAAGGTTAATAATTACTCAAGAGATTATCAAATTCTGTTTTATTTATTGTAGCTTAGGAAACAATAAAAAATCAATTGGAAGATAACTTTTTTTTATTATAGTGGCATGTGGTATAATTGTTGCCCATTGGAAATGCATGCATCTCTTTTCTTTAGCTAAGAGAATTATAGTTATATGTTAATTTTTGTTTTTTATTTGCATAGACACCAAGCACTGCCACCAGAAGAATGCAGTCTTCTACAGGAAATGTTTGGCCACCCAACAATTGTACGCCACTGTGCCCCAGGTCAGCAGGATGCTCATACTCTGGCAAGCATCATGAGTTGATCTTATCACTTTTCAAATGTTCAAATCAGGGCAATGACATTGAAAAATCTGACTTCAAAAACATTCTAGATAAGTTTATTAAAACAAGGTGGATTCGTGATGGTTGCATCCCCGATAAAAATGATCAACTCCAATTTCCATTAATACACTGGGCGTGCATTTTTGGACAATACAAACACCTGGAGTATCTCGTTCGTGAAAAAGGCTTTGAGCTCAAGGTAAACGTCGGAAGGAACAAGGAGGGGCCATTGTTTTCTATGGTTCAGCATCTAAGTAGTGGTATGCATCCCAAGAGCTCCAGAGAAAAGCTCGGAAATATGTTTGGAAATGTTATAGATATCTTCATGAAGTACAGCCCAGAAAGCTTGTTTGAGAGAGAATCAAGTAACGATAATACCATATTGCATTTCTGTGCCAAACGGTGTTGTGAAGATTCGCTTTCTAGAAAATATTTGGAAGTTCTCTTGGTAAAGATCAAGGAGAGTGAGAAGTTTCCACCTGAGAAAGAAGAAGAAATATTGTTAGCGGTAAACAAGGAAGGCGATACTTTCCTTCATCTTATGGTATCGGATGAAATGTCCACTGACACACTGACATACTTTTTTGCAAATTTCAGCGAATTTGGTGAGAAGATTTCTAAAGTCAGAAACAGTCTTGGTGAGACGCCTCGGCAGATTGCTGTACAGAAAAGGTCTATAAAAATGCTCAAGGCTCTTGGAGCACCGGATTTGGTCATAAACACTTTAAAAAAGGCTGTCTCCAGTAAACCAAAGAACTCTCCTGCCGCAGCTAAGGCTTCCCAACAAAACAATAAGGAAACTCCAATAACGGTGCCTAAACCCTCCTCGAGTTTAAATGCCACATCTAGCGACAAGGAGAATCGAAACTCTAAAGCAGCTCTCAATCATTTGGGTTCAGTTGTTAAAGGTGCATTAGGTGTGTCATGTGCAGAACAACCTGAAGTGCCAATCATCAGTGATAGAGAGTTACACGCAGCAGATTTCAAAATGAGTTCATGTGAACCTCTGCCATCTTCTGTGGAGAACGATTGTAGTGCGCCAACCAAAAGACCACTCGAGCCATTTCCTCAGCTTTATCATGTTTCAAATGAAAAGAATATAACACCAGAAAAGCCTTCTGTTGTTCCTAAGTACATCGTGTCACCCCCTGCCGATTCGATGGATCTGGTTAATGCTGTCACTGTTGATGATTTGTCTCGTGCATCTGGTGCACTGGAAGCTGATCCCACTCGTGGCGAGCGCAACTCTTTTGTCAGTCTTTCAAATAGCATTAATAATGTCACTCAAAAGAGGAAAGCTCCAGGATCCAGCAGGGCTAAGGGTCCTAGAAAGAAGAGAGTGTGTACTGATTTGTCGTCAGATTCAGACAGCGATTACAAAGAGGATGCAGACTGGGTAGCCCCTGACGATGACTCAGATGATAACCTTGAATCTGCTGGGCAAGAAGACGAAGAAGAGGATGAAGAAGATATGGTGGTTGAAATCAATAAAGATGATGACCTTAAACAAGGAGAAAAGGAAGGAAAAAACCTAGTGGAAACTGATGTAGATTTGGAGGAAGCAGGTAAGTGATATCGATATGTTCGTTCCTCTTTCTTTGTCTTTGTTCTTTGTTTCTTTGTTTTTTTTTTTTACTTTCGCCGTGTTTTTTCACGTTGTGTACGTGAAGCACAAGAAAGGAGTAGTACGGCGACGCGAGGTGAACATTGATATTCCTATTAAGAGTCGCGTCGATACCTGAGGTTTTTTGTTGTTGTTGTTTACTTCAAAATTGTATTCTCCTTTCGTTTTCCTTCCGCCCTGGATTCTACTGTTGCTCCCCAATGTTATGATATACAGGGCTTCTGATACTTTGTTTAGGGAAAGATATCAATTCCTTCGTGTAAAGCTACCGAATACAGGGCGAGGCCACTCGTTTTATCCCCTCAACCATCGCTTAAATGAAAACGAGCGTGAGTTTGTGCGGTATTGCTCAATACATTTTTGACTGTAATTATGCTTACAATGAAAACAGGACCTACCAGAGAAACAATGAGGAAAATTGCACTTCGAGTGATTTGTAAATTTACTGGAAAAGCAAAGAAGCAACGTTCTTACCACAAAGTCTTATTGTAAGCAAGTTTCTCGAAGCTGATTTGCGTAAAAAATCATTTGGGTTTTTTTATTGTTCTCTTATTGACTTAGCAGTAGATAAGATGCCAGTTTCTTGGAAGATAATAAAGTTCTTATTAGTCCGCCGAAGCGTGTTCCACCTATTCAGTTAATAAAACGGAGCACGTTTGGTTCAAGTCTTGAATATTGCTCCATATTTACATTTATTTTTGTTGATACAGGACTTAAGCATACGCCGTTTTGCGGGAAGAACTGTAATGTGCAACACGATAGGCTCCTTTTGGGTCTCTTGAAATCCTCCAATTACCGTTCCGTCGACTCCTTCATAAAACAAGTCAAAGAGTACGTTAATCAACTGGGAAAGTTTTCAGACGTTCGCGCCAATGCTGACCTACCCGACCCGGTTGATTCCTTCAAGTACCCCTTGGTGCACTGGGTCTGTGTATTGGGCAAATTCAAAGTGTTAGAGAAACTAGCCGCCATGAAAGAATTTGATTTGGGTGTTAAATCTGCACGCACCGGAGAAACAGGATTGCATCGAATGCTTTTCTCTCTTCATCAAGCCTTAATTCGAAAGAAAAGCCCTAGCAAGGCAATACTAAAAGTGTTTTCCAAGACGTTGAGAATATTAACCGACAGTCTGCCTAGTATAATAACTGTTTGTAACAAAGAGGGAGACTCGCCGTTTCACTGCTTGGCAAAGGTGATACTCGATAGTACGGGAGACCTGGAGAGAATGAACACCTTCGAAGGTTATTTTGAACATTTAGTGAAAGAGTTAAACCGTTTGAGGAGATCTGACAAGCTGACGTCAGAGGATGTGCGAGACCTTCTTTTGAAAACTAACGGTAGTCGAGAAAACTTCTTGCATATTTTAGCTTGTCGACACGGAGTTGGTCATCGTGTTATAAAGAACCTACTGCGGAACATCGAACCAGACATTATGGCCACCCTCCAGGCGACAGTAAATGCAGATGGCAAAACTCCTTCGGATCTCGCCGAGGATCTTTGCTCCTACGAAATGGCGGAAATTCTTCGCCCACGCAACCAGGAGACTTCCGCCAAAGAGGCCTGCGATAACCCTGTAGAGGAGTCACCACCGACTCCTGAGAGAAATGCCCCACCAGAATTATCAGCCATGAACTCGCCACCAGCCACCCTTTTCCATCCTATGGAGAGCTCTTTGAGCACTGGTGTTCAAGTTCTAGTCAAGGAGGAGCCCCCAGAAGACGGTTTTTCGGCGGAACCTTCAAGAGAAAGCCCCGATGAAGTTAACGACTCTTCTGGTTTTTCTGAAGTGCTGGCTGATGTTCCATCTCTCACTGCTACCAAATTTGTACCTGGAAAAGTAAAGAGTATGATCCCTACTTTGTCTCCGCCTGCGATACAAGATGTGGATACTAGGGCTTCCTCGTCAGTCAATGGTAGAACGGAAAACAATATAACATTGGCTTCCGACCCCGACGCAAACAATGTGTCCAAGAACAGGAACATGGATTCTTCTATTTTGTCTGTAATCATGAGGATGCCGGGCCTCGTGAAGTCTTTGCGCGACTCTGTGCAAACGAAGTTGACCCAGTCACAAAGAGAATTAGCTGATAATAAAAGCGCTTTGGCTCAAGTGCAGCGGCGAAAAAGCGATTTAGAGGAACGTAAACGAAAGTTGTTGGAAGAACTCCAGAAGAACTGGAGAGAAGTCACTGCTGCTGCTCAAGAGGAAGGCGCGTTGCATGCCGGAATTGCTGCGAGGAAAAAAGAAATCGAGGCATTCAAAGTCGAATTGAAGAAGTACGACTCTAATAGACAGTGATGTAAATAAGTGTAATGAGAATCTGTTTCTTTTTTACACGAGGAAGCTTTTATCCCGGGTAGGGAAGAAAGAGGTCTCTAAGATGTATGAGCGGGGAAATTGGGATTGGGATTAACTGGAGTTTTAAGATTTTAACCTCGGTATTTGTCCGCTCGACGAATAGCAATTTTCCTCCGTTGTGGCTGTGCACCAATTGCTAGTCAAGTGATGTAGGAAAGACTCATACCATAGAACATCAAAAGAGTCACTTGAAATGTAAAATCAAAGAGATCAGGTTCGGGTGATTTTGGTAATTTTTGGCTACTTTTAAGATTGTGATATTTGGACTTAAGATTGAAAAAACAACGTTTTTTATGGGCACGTAACAAAAAAGGAAATTTTTAAGAATTGTAAAGGACACTTTAAAGAAGATAAACTTAACATGGAGATAATTGGGTCTTGAGTCTTCGTGCATTCCCATTGAGGAAAGTCACTATAAACTATAAAGTTTCACTGTCCCTTCATGACGGAGCGTCCCCATCTAGTCGTTATACAGAAGTCCGTCTTCCAAGGGAAGGGGGTTTGACCTCGACATCTCGAACCACAGACCAGTCCGCCTTAAATTATACAGATTGCTCAAAGAAGTGACCCAGAGAGGAAAGCAACTAGATAGCCTCAAAATACTCCAGAGCTAAGCTGAGAATGGAGCAACGGCTCCTTCCAAAAAAATCCTTCAATATAGTGAAAAAGTCATGTTTACCTATTCTCAATTCGGCTCTGTTTTTTGAAGGGTTAAACTCAATTCCTCTTCTTTGTCCCAGCCTTTGAGATTTCTAGTGAAATCTGCGGACCCATCTATGGGGCCGTTTATGCTGGTAGGATCTAACAATTGCGCTGCCAGTATCGATTTTAAAGGCGGTAAGGATACCTCAAAAGAAACGCCTCATTATCTTTTGAATTCAAAACAGACTTTATGAGGATGCTTTTTGCTGCGGGGTCCTTTCTCTTTCTTCTGTTGTCAAGCAAATTGATTATCTGTTTTATTCCCGTGGGAAGTGTTATCAAAAGGCACTAAGAACCTTGCTTCGTTTATTAAACAACAGCGAAGGAAAGGATTGAGTGACTAATGAACTAGCAGAACTATCGTATCCCATGTCATTTATAACCGTTAAATTTGGTGGTAAGCTATCAATCTAAATGAGTGTTTGATCTAGAGGGTTTTTTTTCCAAGCTGAGTTGCTGGTGAAGGCGCTTGCTATGTCGTACTTAACTACTTGTTTCTGATCGATTCTGGCAGATAATGAAGAAGAGTTGTTTAATCCGAATTGTGTTACCGTCAATTTACTGGATAACTTGAGAAGAAGATGCGGTTGTCAAAAAGGAAGTAGGAGAACCAATTACATTTTTCTTTGAGTTAGGTTTCCTTGTTTTCAAGAAATGTAAAGCTAGTTAATCGTGTCGCATACAAACACAATGACTACCGCTTCACCTTGCAACTTACCAACAGAAATCTAAACATACGTTATCAGAGGAGCAATTGGAGAGTAATGATTTATTATCTGGAGACTCTTGATTAACAGAGATTTGCGTAAGCGGCAAAGACATGCAAATACTTATTCTTCGATAACGGAAAAACTAAGCAGATTTGCAGGAATTAACATTAACCATCAAAAAAGAAAAACAGCTCAAACGGAGTCAGACTACACGTTACATCGTAAATCCGGAACTCAGAAGTAGCTTTCGTATAAAGAATTTCTCGTCAACTTGTTTTTACTCTCAGCAAGAACGTAAAATTGACTAATTTTCAACGTTCGCAGGAATTTGGCTATTGTGTTCATTCTTGAAGTCTTTGCCGACTGCGGAAGCCTTTCCTTTGGTGTTTGTAACCAGTTGTGTAATTTTTTTACGCAGGCTAATCCCAAACTTGAAAGTTCAAACTGACTCTATGTTCTGATATTTTTGTTTGATGTCTTATGTTCATTCACTCAACTCTGTGAGGTCTTCTCCCTATCTTCATTATGATTTTCTTGAAAATGGTGTCACTGAGACGTCTAGTTTTTAATTAAACATTTGTCACCATCTGGAAAAAAATTTTATCGCATCGCTCAGACAGCTGTGACCTAAAATTGTCGATGAGACATGAGCGACGTTTTTGCACATAACCATGAGTTGAGTGAAATGTGATGGTCTTCACTCAAAAATTCCTCGTAGAAATTTTACAGATTTATCTTAAACTTTTCATTACTGCGATCAAAGCGAGAATCGGTTTTACTCGATGTCGGTCAAAATCCCAAAAGATTGTTCGTAAGACGTTACCGCCTTTACTTTCCTTACACACTTTACGAAGATAATTAGTCAACTCAGTTTATACGATCTAAACTAAATGTAAGCTCGTTGACATAATTGTTTTATCAAGCAAGAATTCCAAAGAATGATTTTCGTGTTTTGAAACAAATAGACCGAGTTGCTAGGCGACCGAGTGGCTTACACATATCTGATTGTTCTTTTCACAAGACCGCCCGTTTTGTGAATCATTGGTTTGAAATTGTGGGATAAGACAAAGAGGATTCATAAAGGAGCAATCTGTAGGGTTGTGAAGAAAGATGCTTTCATTTAAAATTTATAAGTAACCATACAATAGTTCGTTCATAACAAATCCTCCCTTAAGAGAGGGTGGTATTCTTTATAAACTTCACAAACAGTTCATTCTTTCATCTTGACCCTTTGGCAGTAACGGTGGACTTGTCCGATGAAGATGGTGAAATAAAAAATCTAAACGAATTCCCAACTCAGTACGCTCACAGATTCCTGAAAGGAAGGGAAGTGTTTGTTCTCATCAAAGTTGAAAGTAAGTTGTGAGACTGACCCGTATAACCAAAAACCTAAAAAGAGATCGGAGTGACGTATTGGAGTGCAGGAAAATGGTATGAGCTTCCGCGGGATCTTGAACCACGAGGTTCAAGACCCTGGTGTGCTTGAGATCCTGGATGTTTGAGATACTAGGGGCTTTCAAATACCGGTTGATTGAAATACCGGGTTATAATTAAGGATAGGGTGGGGGTGAGGAGGGGGGGCACAATGACACAAGTCCACTGAAAAGGGAATGAACCATAGTCGAGATAACGTGGAGTTCATAAGTTTGGATATTGACGTAAAGGGAATTCCATTTATAATAAGATAAGCTGCTTATTTCAGGTAAAATTTATTCATACAAATAATAATCCTGTTTTGCTTACTTTTTGGTTGTTTTCTTTTATCTTTTGGTTTGTTTTGTTTTGTTTCGTGTATATACTTTCTACAGAAGGCCAAGGTGATCAGCCTACGACGTACACAGCACTGTTGAATGATCTGGAAAGATCAAACCCTAAACTTCTTGGTGGGTAAACTGAGTTAACTGAACAAGTGCCCTGGTCGAAACTAAGGTCCCCACTTGTTTTGTTCTTGGGATCTTTCTCCCTTGGAGTATAATAGAACTGTGGGTTAAAGTCGTCAAAGGGAGGTGTTGGTGAGTCTTCAGAAAATCAGTACTGAGGAAGCCTGATCAGCGAAAAGATCATTAGATAGTTTTTCAGGTTTCCTTTATGATAGAATGAAAGAACGCAAACCAATCTCTGGTCTTGAGCTGGCTTTTTTCCGATGGCTTTGCTTCCTTTCGACGGAAGTAACCGGAGGACAGATATCCACGCAGACGGGTGTTATTGCTTGCAACCACTCGACATAAAGTAGCCCATTTAATCGCACGAAGATTAATGGTTGAGTTATAATGTTAAATGGCTGCCCTCTCCACAGCTCGCTTAGAGACGTTATCGAAGTCCTGTACTGATTCCAAACCTAAATCTGGACAAAGGAAGGAGTCGCTCTGGAACAATGTTGCAAAAATACGAAAGCTTCGCGGTGGTATGCCAAGTGCAGGACGCAACCGATCAGAATCCAATACTAACTCTAGAGGGGAAAATAAAACTCTTGGCCCCACTCCTTCCCCACCTGGGAAATTGCGTCAAAGGAAAGTTTCCAAAACTTGAAGCATCACCAGTGCTTCGTTTTGAAAGTACGAGTTTATGAAACAATAACTTGTTGTTAATCACGAAACATCTTTAAAAAATATTTGGTTCTATGAGGGTTATTTAAACTCACTGGAGTGTTAACCGAGTTATTTCATCAGATATTTGAAAGGATTTACCCGGGTCAACTTGGTTGAATGAAGGGAATTTTGATGGTTTCTGAAAGCAGTTTAAAACGTTTTTTCATGCTCATTACTAACATCTGTCAGTAGTCGTACGGCATCAGTTCAAACACGTTGCTCTAGCTTTTCAGAAGCTTTTAAGGTCTTATGAAAAAAAACGAAGAGCCAAATATCCTCGCACAGCTTTACGTTCAGAAACAGATAAAAAAACAGCCCAACAGTTCGCAATTAAAGAAATTTCAACATAGTTCTCTCTTTTTTTGCGAGGTTAAAACAGCTCTGCCCTGCAAAAGCTCCTTTATCTAATCTTTATATGGAGGACCCTTTCTAGGTCAAGCACAAGATTGGAATCGTTTCCTATAACAATATTCTCGCTTTTGAAATCAGCGAGGTGGTGAAAAAAATTTGACAGAAAGGTTGGGTTATCTTTTCCAGGAGCATAAATGTTAGCCAAAGTTAACAATTGCTTATTTTCTTTCATATCACAGACACTAAATAGTTATGAAGGGTCAATGTAGAGTTTGAATTCGTTAATTACAGTTATTAAAGAAAAGAGTACATACCCTTGCTTTCTTGTAGCCAATCAAACATAATAGAGCAAAAGATGCAATATTACATTCCTGATGAGTTGGAGGTCTGGACGGAGAGTTGGAATATTAGGCACAGTACCCAACTTTGACCTTGCGCTTTTATTTCAATCTTTTTCTCTTTTTTTTTAGCAAGATCTAGCCTCCCCCGAAAGGTAAAGGTTTTATCCTAGCGAGGCAAAAAATGCCCAGAATTCGAGTCGATGTTGACCAAGACAAGTGAAAAAGGCGGAAACAAAAGCGATCTTGTGAGTAGAAATGCAGGCAGACGGCTATAATCAAAATCAGCATCAATAGCTGATTAGATAAGATCTTTTTAGTTGAGACCACACAAGTGAATAGTGCTCTTCGCACGCGCTGATTGGCTGGTTCGGAAGTGAATAGCAAGCATTATTCACCTCCGAGCAGCCGACGAGACAAAATCTTGCGTCAAGAGTTCAATTTCCGCCCATTTTGCAAACTTTTTTGTCTCTGTGGTATGTACTAAGACATTTATTCACCGCAGTGTCGATGAAAGTTGTAGATATTTAAATATCCACCACCACTCACTTCCACTTCGGTGAATAATTAATTCATTTGACGAGTTTTGAATAACGACAAGTTCCCCGGCCAAAACAAGTTTATAAAGAAGCGCGTACAATGCACGTTACGTAAACATCAAGTGGAACTTGGCTCAAAAATGGCTAATCCATTGAAAATCAAGCAAGAGACATGACAGACTGTCAGCTGTTCTACACCTGGAATAGTTTCTTGGAGCCTGAAAGCGCACATTATAATAAATGCACGAAACCAAAGTCTTACAAGCACGTTGTAAGTCCAGTCCTCACAGACAAAATTCAAAATCAGGTTTAAAATTTCTTTACATTGATCGCTTTTGCAAAATTACGTGAAAGTTCCTCTATTTATTCAATTTTTTTAAATCTGGGTCCCACACTTGTACACATTGCGGACGTACTTGTTTGTCACAGGTTGTCGCTGGATAAAAACTCAAAAGCTTAGAGTTATACGGCCCCAAACTGAATTGGTACATGCCACACTTTTCATCCGCGGATTGCATCTAAATACACAAAGTATCAAGCAAGCGGTTTTTTTGCTTTCTCAAATTTAATCAAAGAGAAACACTTGATGGTACAGTTATTCAACTAAAGGATATTTACTTAACATTTTTATCTTTTTAAGTTATACAAATAGACCACTACGGCTGCAAGAAACTACAAAAACAAGATAAAAAGAATCCTCACGAAAATTACAAAATGTGGAAATAACTGCTTACATTTTTTCCCATCATAGGGATTCAACTTCTTTGTAAGTGAGCATGGAATTTTCCTTTAAGTATTGGAAAATGGCTGAACTGTACTCCGCAGAAATGGAGCCTACGTCACGTGCCTGAATAACCAAGCCCGATTCCACTCTTCCCACCAGCCCCCCTTGATAACTGAAATGCGCGCGATCGTTCGAACTCCTTCTCCAGGTCATCCATTAGTTTCTGGTTCTGAGGTTGTGTGACCTCTCCCGTCGTGGTGGCATTACCTTCTCCTTTTATACCCATCAAGCGCCGGAATTTCGCCTGCATCTCCCCTCCCTGGTCATTACTGAACGTCGTGCTGTTCCACATTGTGGATTTTGGCACGCTGCTGCTGGTACTCGCAGTAGCCTATTATAGAAAAAAATTAAAAAAAAAAGTGGAAACAAGTAAACTTCATTACATCTGTATTTAGCTTAATAACACAAAGATGCTACACAAGACTTAGAAATTGCGACTTAGAGAAGTATAAATGTTGAAGATCCTGGCCAAATTCTACCTCAAACTCAACTCCCCCCCCACCAGAAAAGAGGTCCTTGTTTTTTCCAAAGAGCACGATGCTTTCGGTAATGTAAAAGGAAATAGCTTTTACAGCTAAGGATTACAGCAAACTTTATACCTATTTTTCTTAGCATGATATGACTACACAATCCTTTGAAAAAAGTAGCTTGACTGCCAGCTATGCTGAGTGAAATAATCGTGTAAGATTAGCAGTTTTACAATGTTACACCTCAAAAGCAGTCTTCTTATCCAATACATCAGCACTCATTCACAGATTACTTTTTTTGTAAAATAATGCCTGGTAAGAGAGAAAGATAGATCGGGCTGACCAGCTCTTTTAGCCTTGAGGTTCAAATCTCTATTACAACATGTTCCATAGCTTTAAATTTGCAAACGCGTTAGTTTACGTTGGAAACCAAACAGTAAAAGATGATGTCATGACGAACCTTTCCACTGCCCAATAGAGCAAATGATAAACATTACTATTCATGCATCTTGAAATCTTTTCAAATTCAAATTCAAATTTTCAAATGGTTTCAAATTCTCACTTTTCTAGTTCCGGTTCGTTAATGTCTACTTTCATTTCTACCGAATTTTCTATCTTCTAATGTGAGGGTTTCCTTCGATTTAATGAAAGTTGTCCAGGGCACAAAAAAAAACAAACAAACAAAAAAAGCAAAAACAAAAAAAAACAAAGCGATATATCGTAACCTTAAACCTTCAGTTAGTTGAAGTCGACATAGACAGAAATACCTCTGTAGTTTTTTTGCCACTCCACAATAGCTTTCTTTTCTGTGCCTGTACGGCGTATTGGTGCGGATTCACGACAGAAGGGTTCAGATAGCTGGGCAGGTTTAGCATAGAGGCTGCATCTTGCGCTTGCTTCCTGAGTGACTCTGCATGGGCCGCCAGCTTGGCCTGTACCTCTTCTGAGGTAAGCGGACGCGCAGGGCGTGGTAACGTCTCCAGTTGGCCAGTCGAAGTTGCTGTAAATGAACAGTTAACAGACGCTGAAGAATAAAATGTTGATATGTTATGTAAGGGTCGTCTAATGAAACAAAAACAACGTTTTAGTTCAATTTACTAAGTTTAAGATTTAACAACTACAAATATTTCTGTTATGATTACTTCGCTGTTACCCCATTTTTTCATCTTGAGGCAACAATACCCGCAAAGTCTGCGAAGGTCATGCGACAGTAATACTCTGTGGAAAAGGGCGAAATTACGGAGGAAAAGCACAGCAACACAATTACGGTAGTAAAGAAATCCAAATTGATTTTTTACGTCACTTAGGCCCGACTTTATAAGCGACGAACTATCAATTGAAATAAACTGTTTTGGACGGACATAAAGGTCATTTAAATGGTTTCGTTGGCGTTGTTTTGGTTTTTTTTAGTGCAATTTATGCAACAGATACGACTGACAGGAAATGTCGTTGGTTATATTCCGAAAAATAGAAGCTTAAATACTAAAAAATGAATAAAAGTAGAATAACAGATCCCTTATTCGATGTTTCAAAATTAAATATCATTAGATATTTTGCTCAACTCACAAAATCTCCTTGCTTATCCTATCTTATATTATCAAATAAGGTTTATTTATCCCAGGAAAGAAACGCTCCACCTTGAAAGCCCTATGTGTAAGGAATCGATCTCCAACTTTATCGCTGACCTGGAATGAGAGGAGTCTGAGCTCAGGATAAACTAAAACGATGGACTGAGTCAGCTTAAATTATCCAGGATGAAAAAACGTTGCTCAGTTCTTTGCCAGGCTCGGTTTTCGCAGCCACATTAGGGGACATAGGTTTAAACACACTTAAATTCTTATTCCTAACAGTTTTAATTCACGAAAAAAAAAAAAAATAACCGATAAAATACAACAGATTATGTTCAAGTACACCAGCACTACGGAAAACGGCTTGGAGGTGTTACCTTTAACAAATGTTTTCTTATCCTGTCCAGGAGAAGCAACTTTTTCGTCCTCTCGACTCCGGTCACGATCTCGTTCTCTGTTTCTATCGCGGTCTCCATCACGGTCTCTATCATACCGCCTGTCTCTTCCCCAGTCTCTACCGCCTCTGCCTTCCCTTTCCCGGTTTCTGGCTCGGTCCCGGTCTCTCTCGTGCCGCCTGCTGTAATCACCGCTACTTCGCCGATCTTAGAAACCAAAGATAAGATTTGAAAGTGCTTCAGTTCAATGAGTCTATACTTGCAACAGAATCATCGATTGATCCGGTATTGAATGAGTTAAAACAACTCGCTATCTCCCTCAGAAATAAAGCTCTAGTCACTTTCCTCAGATTTTTTCGGAATGTTTGTTTCGTTGTTTTTACAGATCCTCTTATATACGTTAAAGTTCTTAAATTTGTTAAAGCACTTTACGTTTGCGATCGAAGAAGCTGACCATGAGGACACCACAAGGTATCTTACCTCTTGAATCTCTCTGTGGGCTCTTCCGGTTATCTCTTCTTCTGGGCCTTTCTGGAGATTTCCTTTCACAAGAAACCCGCCTTTCTCGACATGGACTCCGCCTTCGCCTCTGATCAGGTGTTTTACTGCGTCTTTTAGGTGAATTCCTCCGCTGAGGAGACGAACTATCCCTATCTGAAGACTTGCTCCGGGCCGTCTTTCCTCTGGGAGGGCTTTTTTCCATGTCTTCTTCATCCCGAGTATTACTGCCACGCCTAACTGATAATTGTTGTGCCTTTTCTCTCTCGCTAGGAATTTTTCCGAGAGATTGGCTGTGTTTCCCTTCCTTAGCTTGATCACTAGTTTCATCTCTCTCCTAACAGGAGAAATCATACCCTTTAGAAAAAAAATTGGTGCTTTTCTTCTTTCAAATAAGCTGAAAATTGTCTTGTTAGTTTTAGACGCCAGTTCTTTGATGGATTCCTATTATACTTATTTGTGCACCCGGTATTAAGCGGTCGGTTGTCAGAGTCCCGAATTTGTTTCAAGCCCACTTAAGCCTCATGTCCGGAATTCGACCAAAACCATGTGAAAGCCTTACACGCTAGCGGACTTACCATAAAGTTAACAGGAGTGGAAAGAGGGATTGACCGAGTGATGGTTACAAGGAGTGCATTTAAGAGCATCACGATAACTAGGAAATTTTCTTTAAGCCATATTCCCAAATGAGTTACTGTAACGTTTGCGTAAGTAAGGCCGCTAGACGGACTCACAGGCACTCTACCATGCCTTAAGGCACTGTAGACTGAAAAAGCTAAGGACCAAGGCAAGTGTCGTTTAAATGGATTTTGTTGTAGGCAATAATTTACAAAACTTACATTAGGACAAAACAAATAAATATATACATACATATATATATATATATATTTGTACACCCGTTTTCAAAAACTTTGCAACATTGAAAATTTATATTATATATATATGTGTGTGTGTATATATATGTGTATATATGTGTATATATATATGTGTATATATATACACACATACATAAATATATATACACACACATATATATCTGAAAGTTGGACAAATCAACAAGACAACTTTTCTGTGACTCCGAGTTTCGCGCTTACGCGATCATCCGACAGATTTTCATAATTTTAATTAAAATCACTTTAATTAAAATCTGTCTGATGATTGCGTGAGTACCAAACTCAGAGTCACAGAAAAGTTTTCTTATTGATTTGTCCAACTTTCAAATATTCCACGCTCTGCGAACGCATCGAGCACTATACCACAAGGATAGACTACAATCAAGATTATTCACATATATATATTTAACAAATAGATTCCAAGTTGTAGTGCGTCTGTTCAGTAATAGATCACAGATGACGTCAAAATGTGGTAAGAACGAAAAAGTGGCACATTCGGCGCAGCCGAGTGTGTCACTGATGTAACTCATTAGCATATATTGCAATTGGTTGTTGCTTCAATTTATATTTGAATTGAAACTAGTTGGGTCCAGTGCAGCCCTTCAATCACACCATCAGTTAAAAGTTAAATGTTCTTACTGTTTATGTACTAAACAGTCCAAAACAAATCAATATTTACCATTAAAAGTCACATAAATATGCCTAGCAATGGTTTATTTCACTTCTTCATTTGAGACTATGGGACATCCAAGCTTGATGCATGCCACTAACCTACAAATTAATGACTCAACCATACAACCTAAATCCGTGTTAAATAACCTCTACATGTATTAAGAATAATTTTCATCATGATTTACTTTCAAACTAAATTCTATCATGTCACTGATGTTGCCTCACAAATGAGTCTCAGTCACACCCTAAGTTTAATACTAAGGACAAAAGGACGTCAATCACAATTGCAGTTACATTCAATATGGTCACCCAAAATGGTGAAAGATTCACACCTGTATGCAAGTACAAGTAACACCATGGCACACAGATTGCCTTTCTTATTGTAAACTTTCCTGCTGCTAAAACACAATATATAAAGGGGAACAACTGAAGGTTACCATGCACTTTTTTCAATAACTTATACTATTTTCACAACAGCATTCATCAACCCCAGATAAGAATATATCAACAAATGATTTTTCATGCAATTTGGACTGAGTAAGCATAAAAATTTTTCAAAGACCACAGAAATTGCATAATCTCTCATGAGTGAGTACAATCTGTAGTGCTTACTAAGTTTAACCTGCATGAGAATTCTTTGACTCTTTGATATATGCAATAATTTATTTTTTCCCAAGGCCAACTTTTGCAAGTGAATTCAAATTCAAACCTTCTTCACTGTTCTAGTAATGATCACTTATGTGCTTTCATCCAAAATGCAGGCAGGAACTTGGTATGTATATTGTATACATCAATGTTACTGTAGTTAAATGTAACACTTCCATCAAAATTTTTATAAACAGCTACTTTTCTTTTTTGAAATACAACTAGCACATAATTTTGCATGTGTTAAAAAAAACAATCATTAGGGATATAAATGTCTGGGAACAAGTGAAATTTTTTTTCTGTGTAAATTCTTAAAACTGTGTTGAAAAATCTGCATTGCCATTTTTAAAAAACTCTGTGTAAATAATCTGTTCTCTCATTTGATTCAATAAAAAACAGGGAACCTACACTTTCTAACCAAAAAAAAAAACCCCTAGGCAAAAAAGTATACAAAAAAAACTTCAACAAAACACACTGCTATAGTTTTGCATTAGCTAAATCTTTCCACAGAAGATGGGTATCAATGTTATTTTTTTAAAGAGGTTTACTCTCACCTATGTCACTATCTTTAACATCATTACTTTCACATTCAACTATTACTGAGAAGTCCAAAGGAGCACTTTTGGTTTTTTGAACACGTGATCTATTGCCTCTTCTTAAATACTCATCAATTGATATGACACACTTCTGTTTCCACACTTTATCTTGGTCCTCTGGAGGAATAGAGTACAACTTAAATGCACAATATCTTACAAGATTAAGTTTATCACTGTCAAGTGCTTCCTTCCCCCTGGTGCCTGAGCAATTTCTATTCAAGATCTCATCTTTTGCGAACAGAACTTTCACCAGGTTTACACTAAAATTTCCCACAGAGCAGCTAGTTTTTTGTATCCTTTCTGCCCATGACAACAGTTCTTTCATTTGATCACTATCAGTAAGAAGTTCAACCTGACTTTCCGCATTGTTAGTACTGTCACAGTTAACACAAGCAGTATTGAGAGGACAAAATGGTGTCACTAAAAGTGGATTTTGAAGGGTTGTGTTGCCATCACCAGAAACTGAATCACTCTGTGAAGTACCATTAACCTCTTCAGTGTCAGATGAAGCAGTTAGCTCCTTCATTTCACCTCTCAATGGCTTTTCAATCAGACTGGGTACTACTCCTGTATGACTAGTAGGGGAGAGTGCTAAATTCTTCAAATGCGCCACAGCTCCTAGGGCACTTGCTGAAAGCCTTACTTCACCAGGGCTTTGTTTGATGTGCTTTTCAGGTCTTGGATGCTTGTGATCTGCAGTTCGCACCCCATTTGACATGCTCCTTCCAGAAGGAACAAGTTTTCTGGGAAGAACTGCTACCTGCTGATGCTCCATGAGCTTCACTAACTTCTCTTGATTTTTCAGAACTCTTTCCTGATTTTCCAGTAGCTTTTCCACTTTCCATAACAGTGTCGCTAGTTGCCCATTCACCTCAGGCCCTAAGTCCATCATGTGATATAACTTCAAAGAAAGATTAGCAGTGTCAGGCTGAACTTTTCCATAACTACAAGTCTTGTCTAAACAAATTTAACCTCTGAAAAGCTAGAGAACAGCTCAGAAACATAGGACCCCAAAGGGAAAAAATGTATCACGAGTGCTCAGCAAACAATGTAGCTTGCTTTCAGGGGTCACCATGTTATACTTTGCTCACCTTTAGATTGATTTTTTTTGCCAAAATAATTGCAATTTGCCTTTAGTTAAACTAGTTTATCTCTTACTAAAGGCTTACAGAATGATTGTCATCACACAGTCCTCAAGCACCTTGCCAAAACCCTCCAAAGAACCATTTTTCCCCTACAAAAAATGAACTTTACAGTATTTTTTCATTGAAGAAACTTAGACAATTTTGTCCGAATTTTAAGCATTTTACCATTAAAATCACTCATTTTCCAAAAAATTACACATGGATAGAAATTGACCATTGCTTCTGCAAGCTGGGTGGCTCCTAAAAGAGCCATTTATGTTTAAGAATAAGCTCATATTTGTTGCTGTTGATTGAAGTTAAATTCCCTATACAGATAATTTGATTCTAATTTAACTATGTGACTGTTTAATAGAGGTGGATTTCAAAAGAATTAACCAACTGATAAGCCAAAATTGTAAATACATCTGTTTAACCCTTTAACCCTCAAGATCCAATTAGCTATTCTCCTGACTGACTTCCATACATTCCCTTGTAACTTGGAAAGGTGGATCCATTTTAATTCAAGATAACACCCTCTGGCTGACAAGTTTCCTCTGTTCTCATAACTTGTTTGCAAGGATCACAATGAGAAGTTACAAGTTAATAAATTCTTGGAGTTAGAGTGTTAATAGAGGCATGTGTTAAACTGAGGTCTAATTCATAACAACTAGGGGTACTGGGTTCTGGGAATCTAACAAGTGACAATTTAAAGACCACTTTGTCAAAGGCTGCTTGATAAAGATTTGCTCTTGTTCAAATGCTTTTGTTAAACGTGAATTAAGCAGATCTGAATTTAAAAAAAAATAATTTCATGGAGTTCACTGGACACTTTCTTAAATAATTTGTTCCTACAACTTTCAGTCATTCAATTGACTTGTATTGCTACCCCATACATTTGGAGTAACTTGACCAAAAATTAAAAGAGACAATAGAGTAAAAATATTTCAAAGTTTGTTTTAAAAGATTGTATCACACTGTAGGGAAGTGAAGACAACTATAAATTACTTTCAAAGCATCTTCCTTTTAGAGCAACATATTGAACTCTGCAAGGTTTTTGTTCCATTTACAAGCTAAGCTTTTGCTTTTCCAAGGAAACCAGCAAGTAAGAAAGTAAACAGATCATGATAAGACCGAAAACATACTTTTCAAGTTGTCTAGTGCTTGTAACTTGTCTTTGGCTTTTACCAATCTCCTAGGTGCAGTTGTATAACTTGACTTCATTAAATTACTTCATAGAGAAGTGAAGTCCTCCAGAAATTAATTTCAAAGCCACATCTTCTCAGGGCCACATATTATACTCTGCAGGTTGTCTATTTCAATTGAAAGTTGATTACTCCTTTGCTTTGCTTGTGAAACCAGCAAAAAAAGATATAGAAAGTGCCAGGAAAAATTATTTCTGAGCTGTTCAGGTATTTTACCCTGATTACTTTTTCTAATCTCCTACAGTGTATGTGCACTTCCATAGTTAGAGCACTTAATTCTAATTACAAACTCTGTTTTGATGGCTGGTAATGAAAAATTTATGTTTGTTGTCCTAAGTTATAAACTCTCATCAGAGCCAAAGAGATTAACATTTAGGTTTTCACTACAGGTGTTGGGCTTATTCTCATTGAATATTGCATTATAAGTACAGGTACATGTAAGTTTACTAGAATTAAATATTTAAATTCACATCAGGTGTTTCAATAATAGTATCATGATATCAGTAATCTAGCAATATTAGGCTGCACTGGACCGAACATATATTTGAAAGAATGGGTCATATCTGTTTTCATTAACTGCTCAATTCTTAAAAAAGCCAACTGCTATTATGACAATGTCAACCAAAGCTCTGCCTTGAAAATAGCTTGCTTGTACATCAACATTTCACTTGTTAACCAATTTATACAGAGATCTCCATGTATTTCCCTATCTTGTTACTCCATACATCCTACCCCACAAACAAGAAACCACTTTTCAGTGATAAATCATATAAAAAAGCATGTACTCAGTGCTCTACAGCTTCACTTACATTCCTTGGACTGTGACTTCTCCTTCTCCTCCTTGGGCTTCTACTTCGGCTGCGGCTTCGACTCCTTCTGTACCTGTGGTAATCTTTCAAGGAGAAACACAGAGTTTTAAATGAGTCCACCAAACAAATTAAAGCATTGAAGTCCTTTCAGGCACCTCATTAAATGTAAAGCTGAGAAAATAGAAAAAAGAGCTAAATATTGCCAGATGGCTTTGGCATGATTCACAATCCAAGGCATGTGCTACCTCTGAGACTTGTCTGCTCTTGCATAATCATTGAATCAATTCCTCAAAGTTTGTGAGGTTTGAGGATTGAACCTCATAGGGTTTTGAGGTTTCTTTGACCAGTATTGTACAAGTAAATATATTATACTATGTATGTATAAAACATCTTGTAACAAGACACAAATGCCCTTTCCCCTTTACATCTACTCTTCTTTATTCTTCAACTCTTTTGTTTTTTGTTGTTGTTGTTTTTTTTTTGCTGATGACTTTAATTTATTTCTGGCAGCTTCTTTGTGGTTCAGATTCCAAAATGGTATATTTACAAAAAACCCTGATAAGTGTTTCTCTTCTTTAATCCCAGGCTATTTCCAGCTTTTCCTCAGATTCCTTTGCAGCTGCTGGGACCTGATTATACCAGCTTTCTTAATTTGTTTCTTGAAAAGCCTTTTTTGGATATCTTTCTTTAATCTTTTTGGGGCATGCAATCATCGAATTTAGACAAAAAGAACTGGACTAAAAAATCTGAAATCAGATTTAACACTAACCATGGGTTATATTAACCCAGCTTTGAACAACCTGACCCAGAACTAACCATAAAGCCACCACACCTCTTTACAGATACAGATCTTTATTGAAGCTCCCTGAATGGGTTTTTTAGCATCAATACAAATGGTTAAAAAAAAATAAGACTAAAATCAAAGAACATAAAACTATAGTTACAGCTAAATATATATATATACCATAATTTCCGGCCGTTTACCAGCGGGTAATCTGTTGATTTTGCATTAAACATGCACAACTGCGGGTAATAGGGAGGTGCGGGTTATGTGACAATTTTAAAATCTACTAGTAGTTGAATTGAAAAAAAATATCACCAACATGCATTTCCACCTCTTAAATGAATTTAATTGTATTAAGAGTGCCACAAAGTGGCACGAAAACATGATGCCAACTCGAGTTTATTTCATGCATAATTAGTTGCGTGACAAACAAATTGCTATCAGCATGTGTGAAAACAAAACCTTGATGGTGACAAAAATAATCCAAAGATATCCAGCGCATCAGTAACAAATTTCCCATTTAACACTAGCTTGAGCTAAAGAGAATTTCCCCATTTTAAGGGACTTGTTAGGCTCAGAAGAACTGGAGATCTTGATTTTTATCAGAAATCGCCGACAGTACTTTATAATTCAAGTTTAACACTCACCCAGCTTTCTTTCAACAAATCAACATGGCGTTGAACAATCGCCACGGGCTGCTAGTGTTTTTACTGTATAATTTTATCAGTAAAGTACATACTAATATTGACACAGAATTGTGCACGTCTAAAATCTCCAGTTTTCGAAAGTTATATCAGACAACTTTTAAAAGACTGAAATGTATCACCTTAATGTCATGTTTTCGCCACCAAAAAGTTGAATAACATTACGTGCGGGTTATCCACCAGTGCGGGTAATCTGTTGACTTTTTTTTTTTTCACCGTATGCAATAAATGGCCGGTGCGGGTAATCGGCTGTGCGGGTAAACGGCAAGAAATTGCGGTGTGTATATATATATATATATATATATATCAATCAGAAGAATTAAAATACTGAATAATGAAGTTAACCTAATTCCAGCTTAGTAAATTGACACTTAAATTTCTTGGGACATTTTAGACACTTAAGATTGGTGCTTAATGAGTTCCACAGTTTTGCTCCTCTATAAGCAAAAGACCTCTAACCAGTTGAAAGGCGGCAAAAGGGTATATCCAGGGCACTAGCTGATCCGGTTTGCCTGTCATGAACACAAGAACGTAGCCTAAACTTATTTGCAAGGTTATCTGGAGCAAGATTATAAATGCATTTGAAAACCGTAGTTGCATAATTCAATTTTAGTCTATCTTTAGTAGAGAGCCAATTCAATGATCTTAGTCCTTTAGAAATATGATCATATTTTCTAAGTCCCAGAAAAATTCCTCCAGCAAATTTTTTAACTTTTTGTAATTTATCGATGTTCCTATTGCTAGTATTGCTCCAGATGTTTGAGCAGCAAAGTAATTTGCAAAAACTAAGGCATTCGTAAGTAGCAACAGCATTTTTCTATCTAAAAGATGCTTAATTCTATTGATTTGTTTTAACTTAAATACTTCACTTATCTATTATCAACCATTGATTTATTAATGACTTACCACCTTGATCTGAATGTCTATTCTGCCTTCGTGAAACAGGAGACTGCTCTTTTGATCTTTCTGGGGATCTTTCAGGTGATTCTGAAAATGACCTCCTGCGATAATTTCGCTGTTGATTCCTGGGAGAGCCTTTTCTTTTGGAAGAATGATGCAACATTTCCTTTCTATTTTCTGTTGCCTCCTGTGGCTCGCCACTCTCTGGTTCCTGATTATCACATTGATTTACTGGGTAACTCTCCATTTTAACAGAAATTTCAAGCTGTGTATCCCTTTTCTCTGCTTAGACAAACAATTACATCAACCAATCAAATATACAACAAATATATTTGGTTTTTCTTCATTAACTTAATGAGGACTAGATGAAAGTTACCAGTGAATAATTTGAACTAAAGAGATTGCTTACCTGTTTCCTGAAAGTTTGATGTTTCACCAAATGTAATTCTAAATTGAAATAAATCATCAAATATTGTCAATTACTCTTTACAGTGATTTAAAAACACAACTTGAACTTGGTTTGAAGTTCAAACTTATTCAGAAAAAAAATTAACTCTCTCTCTCTCTTTTTTTTAATAAACCAGAAATGAAACATGTGGGCCACCTTTGGATGCATTAAACAGAATATACATTACAGTTTCACTAAACTATTTATCATGCAGTAGTTTCACCAAATTTCAAGCAAGCCGAATTAATTGAGGTGTTTTAAGTTGTAATTTCCAACTTCATTGCGATCAGCGAAACTAAATCCTGTTGCCACGATATAAACGAAAATTTTAACATTAAAACAATAGTTTTATCTTGTAGCTCAGGAATTTAACATTTCTCTTTCAAGAAAATGATATTTCCCGATCGGGCTTCCGTGAAGCATACATGACACGTGAAACAGGGGGAAAATTATTAAGTTATAATAAAAAAATACCATTTAAACGTACAAAGACTTAAGTGACACACAGTTGAAATTTTAGCCGTCTACATTGCCAAGTTTCGTTTCCTGCTATCTAAAGGGAAGTATGTAAGTGTAACATGTGAACACCAGATGCAAAACCATCTATTGATCAATGAACTAGAACTTTAAATCTCAACTTTGTCTTAAAAGATGATAGCAGCTTGATGAGGCTTAAACTATTCTGGCTGAATGAATGACCCTCCCTATCAGTTCTTACCAGTTGTAATGCCGAGTTTTGCTGGGTTTTGGCGTTTCCTTTAGAAGAACCGTAACCTGTAGCGTTCTCCATGTTCTGATCGTTCCGATAAGGCCAGGTAAAGTTCCCGGATGGACAAAGGGTTGTTTGCCATATTTGGGCCTAGAATAGTGTCCAGTCTCTATGTTTGAGAGCGCGCCGCAAAACAAACTGCCTCAACTTGCAAGTCAAAGCATGATTTGCTGTCCTGTCAAAGTTGTGGTGCATCGAGCATCGTTCGAAAAAGACCTATTCAGGGACAGAGGGCACTTTCATCTAAACTTTTGCAAAATATTTTACGAAATCCGATACCATCACTTAGAAGAACTAAAAAGAAGAAAGAATAGTCATATCGAGAGGAGTTTCAACGCGGAATCTACAGGGCTTTGATGATTCAGAGTGGTAATGGGGAATATTCAAAGTAGGTGTTCATTACAGAAAAGGAAAACTCAAAATCGACTGCACCGTAAAGCAGTAGGAGAAACAGAAGTTGGTCGGCCCGGAGCGTCCAAACCATCACAACTACAACGAAGTGCCAGTCAAGGATCTTTACGAAGGCGATACTCAGAATCTGGAAATTATTCTTACAAAACACCTTGGCCTGTTCCATTGAGTGACACTGTCTTTTTGCCCGAGTATGATTTTAAGCAGGTAGTCAAGATCAGTGACTTTGAGGTTTGTTTACATAACAGTAATAATTAAAAATTGTCACGCTTAATTTAATCCTGCTGAAGAGAAAATATTTTAAGACACTTTGGATTTTGTCCAGAAAATTTCCGTCATTTACAGAAATTCGTTGTATCATCATTTTGCCAGACAGAGTATTTACGGATAAACATAGCATGAGATTATAAGGCTTGAGTTGATTTCGTTGAACAAAGTTTGTTTCCTTCAATTTTTGGGAGTAAAATCCACAGAGACCTTTTCGTTCTTTCCACGTCTGATATTTCTATATCAATGGTTGTTTGTAAAAAATTGCAAATTATGTTATTTTTTCTCTCGAGTAAGAGCAGTAGAATTTCCTGCAAGAAAGTGGAGTCCATGATTTTCCCAAAACTGCCGACATGAAGGCATTTCATCTGAATTTAACGACCATCAGGCCTTAAGTGATCAAAAAATTTCCTTTTTGCAGAAAATACCAGTGTAATTTGCCACAATCAGGATACTGTCAGTGCCACTTTTCATTTCCTCTGTTGCAAAAACATCCACCTAATTGCAGTGACATTGTCTTAGAAATAAGCAAAAAAGAAAAAAAGCCAAATTTGAATTAGTTATCATATAGTATAAGCATATGACATAAGCATATTAATTTTTTTCTCAGTGGGCACAGTAACGAATCTTGGAATCTGATTGGTTCTTAGCGTAGTCCATATTTTCCTATCTCTGCCCGTGGGCACCGTAACACTTTCGTGAGTCACTGAGAACATTTCTAGGTTTGTTTCCATTCTTCATAAATAAATTTTGTTTTTGTAGCTGAGCATTATTTTCAAGCAAAGTATTTTTAAGCAAATCAAGCCAGTTAATAACTTACTAATCTCACTCTCAAATCACTTTGGTTACCAGTATAAAATTTTTTTCAAAATTAATTTATGGTAGCAAATGTGTCATTAAATGGGTTGACTAGTGGCCTAAACACAGTTTTTCTTTCTGTAAGATCATTTAATGGTTTTGAAGAAAAAATGTCGTGACAGTCATTGAACTTGAGTTTATTTGCCAAACCAATACACTCTTTCAAAAGTGTACTTGCACTTTTTTTTCTTACGCACTCTCTAATTGACAAGTGTCAGATTGTGTCAGGTGTTTGTAAAAAGAATGTTTCAAAGTATGTTTGGAAGCCTTTTGAACCACTTTTGTTGCTATACAAATGTTTTGGTGAAGTCTCTTTCTTTAATTTGCATTATCACTGTTTTAACTACTATTTGCTTGCAAATATTTTTCAGTTTTAGGAGGATCTTGCTGTAATTACAGCTCTAATTCATTCAGGTTATTTTGGCTGGAATTTAGTGAAGTTAAGAAAAAAAAATGTTGTTTGCTTAGGCCGGTCCATATTGGGAAAAACTGTGCCCTCTGTCTTGAGTACTGGCTGAGGGTGGTACTCAAGACCTTGGGCATTTAATTTTTCCCAATGCAGACCTCTTGGCTGGTACATATATATATTTTAATTTTTGGAATTGCTTGAAATCTATCAAGAACATCTCATATACTCTCAAGAAGTTTGAAATCATTTTTTGGTGGAGATTCTGTGAAAATTATTCACCTGCTGGGAATAGAGCTGAAGGGTAGTTTTACCTATACATGCTGATAAAATCCTATTTGGCCTTTTGCCTTTTTCTTTTTTCTTTTTGCTTATTCTTTAACACATTATTGCAATTTGGTGTACAAGTGTGTATTTGACAGAACAAAAAAAGAAGAGGAGTGTGTTATTAAAATGGTTGGTGATGGTGAGAACATGGTTACCCTTGTACTTTTCTCAATTGCACTTTAATTTATAGTGTGCAAATTTCCACACAGAAGATAACATTGAAAATCAAACATACTTGTGGTTTAAATGTAACATGAACTACAGCAGGCCATGCCCTTTTGAAGACTTTTCCTTACTCAATATATTGATGAAAAAATTTGAAGATGCCACTTTAAAGCAATTTCATACCATAAACCCTATGCAAAAATAAATTGCAAATGAAGGTTGTAGAAATATTTGTCAAAGCTATATTAGTGTCCTGTGGAAACCTCTTGTGGATGATGACTTTTTTTCCTAGTAATGATAAGATATACTCCTTATTGATTCTTAACTTATGCTTATTTTGAAATATAATGAAAAAATTGTGTGTTATTCTAACTTGTGGACGCCTATAGTATATCTGTCACTTACTTCTTTTTTCTTGAAGATCCTGGCAACAGTTGGTAAAGGTGCATTTGGGCATGTAAGTATTTACATGTATTGCTTAGTCTCTAGCATTGAGAAATGCTTTTCATGTCATTTGAGAAAATGTCTGTTTCTTGTTTTAAAATGCCTTACTGAAGTGACAGCTGTAATGTTTAGAGTGCATGGCATGGTAAAAGGAATGAACCTGTATTCATTACAGCTTATCATATGTATTCCTGTTTATGGATCAATGTTTACTCTTTATCTGAACATTGAAACAAAATCGTGACAGTGCAACCCATGCAACAGCAGTGACTATAAAATGCATGAAGGACATGTTATCCTTCAATGTCCATGTTAGCTACAAACCAATTGCTAAGCTGTGTCACTTACTAGCCAACTTTAAAGACAACGATGAATCCAAAAACAGACAGCAAGTGGTTTTTAGGATAAATTGGTCCAACAGAGACTCAGTGGGAATCCAGGCTTTCTTTGTCCCCAGCTAGTGACAAGACAAAATAACATCTATCTCTAATTCATCACAAAGTTCAAAATTTACCATCTTTCTAATTCTGCTGATGCATATGACAATTTGGACATTGTTGATCCTAGTAATATGCAGGAGGCGTTACACATGTGAACCTTATAGTAGCTTGGCTCAGGTTGGAGGCTATAAGGCTTAGTGGTAAAGCATTTGAGTGTGGATTGCGAAGGTTTGATTCCTCTCACACTTACACACAAGACAAAAAAAAAATCATTTCTCTATTTTATCACCCAGCCTAAAAGTTACCATCTTTCAGACTATTCAGTTGTTGTTGCTGTTTCCTCCAGGTACTTCAAGTACAAAACAAACAATCTAATAAATTGTTTGCCATAAAGGTAATTATTTGCATAAGCTCTTATTTCATTGCAGAAAACTAATGTTTTACTTAACAGAAGTTAAAGGGAAGATATGAGTGGAGAGGAGAGGGTGCCAAGAGATTAAACGTCTAGGTGTGCTTTGTTACTCTTGATGTGCCCTATTTAAAGCTGTATTTGCGTAATTATTTGTAGCACTGTGGTTCATTGTTCCTATTTTTGCTAGATACTGAACAAAGCAGAAATAATCAAGGGGAATGCTGTTCAGCAGTGTAAAGATGAAGTTAATATTCAGGTTAGGGAGTGTACATTCAAAGGTTATTTTTCTGCTATAGAGATCATACAGTTAATTGAAAGGGCTATCCCATTGAAGAATTGGAACTGGCTGACATCCTAATCCTCATAGAAAAACTGAGGCTCTTATTTTATCCCTCACTTGTTACAGATAATTTATATCTACCTGTGTTAGAAGTATATATGAAATTCATGGTAATTGTTAATCAATTGAAAATACTGTGAAACCTTGAATTTGCTGGAAGTAGTTCTGAATTTCAATAAAATTTCTCAGCCAGTAAGTTCCCCATTGTAGGTAACAGGTGAGTGCATATATGACCATCCTATATGGGTGTCTATGCATTATTTCACCTGGTAACATTATGAAATGAAAGGAATCTTCGCAGTAATGAACACTACTTGAGCAGTAGTGAGAATTAGGCCTGAAAAAAAATTTAGGCCTGTACAGGATTTGAACCCATGATCTCTGCGATGCCGGTGCAGTGCCCTACCAACTGAGCAAACAAACCAATTGGGAACTGGTCATATAATGTTGGTTCGTAATAAGCCCGTGCAGTGATGAATAAATGACTGTGAATAAATGAAAATCATGTATGTGAATTGCAGATTAAGAAATGAACATGGAAGCGATCTCGGGAGAAATGAATACTACTCATAATAAGCAATAGTAAAAATAAAACCTGAAAAAAGAATTCAGGCCTGTATGCAATTTGAACCAATGATTTTCATAAATTTGCAGTCATTTAACCATACACTGTTACTTATTAATTCAGATATTAGAAATCTTTAAAATCAATTGGGTTTTGACCAATGTACCTCTTAGAGAGTAAACTGTTTTAAGTAGCAAGGTTAAATCTTTGCTGTGATTTTTACTTCTAAGATTGGATAAAAACAAACTTTTAATTGGTGATAGCAGATTTGCTAATCTCTTTAAGCTAATCTTGCCTTGCACAGAAAATCCTTGGAATCATTCTTATTGAATGAGAAATTTTTTTTCAAATGTGGTACTTTGGTGTGCAGTGAAAGGCATTAAGATTTATCAACTAAACCTTTTTACACCTCACTGAAACTACTACCTTCTTTCCAGTTTCTTAACAGGAAGGCCTTTATAAAATATTGGTCAATAGCTGAGATATGCAGGTTTTTCATAGAGATACCTTGGTTGACAGATATTATAAAGGCAGAAGGAAATATTGGATGTTATTGTTTTTGCTAGAAACTGGTACCAATTGGAAACTGAAAATGTACTGTATAGCTTATTTATAAGCAGGATATTTATTAAGTTATCTGATCTTATCTTTACAGATACAACTTGATGAATTTCCATTTCTTGTGAAAACTTGGTATACATGGCAAACTAAACACAATCTTTTCATTGGTATGTGTCTCCTTTTTTTTTTAAAGCAGGAGCTAGTAGGTGTACACGTTTGTTAGCATTTAGTTATTCTACTTTTAAAAGTTTTCAAACCTGACAATTTGGGTGATGAGACTCCATGGCAACAAATGTCGTGCATAATAACCATTAAGTGAACTTTAATAAATTAAGTTTCAGATTTTGTTGATGGCAGTGATCTGTACACATTATGGCGTCAAGAAAAGAGGATAAATGAGACAACTGTCAAGTTGTATTCTGCTGAATTAGCCATTACATTAGGTAAGAGCTCAAAGCTGAGAGTTCTTCAAAATGTTACTTTGTTAATACCCTCATCTATACAGAGTGTAAACCAGCCGTGTTCCTAAGATCAATCACTCCTTATTACTTCCACTATTAGAGGGAGTTGTTAATTGAGCAAACCTTTGGTGGAGGCTGTTACGCAGCTGTTTTCAGTAGCTTGACTTTATTCTACCCCCTCTCGAAGGTTTCCTTAAGTTACGTACTCCTTTTCTTTGGTAGTCACGTACACTTTTAGGTGGAGTTAAGCGCTGCAAGAGTTAAGTCTTGTTCCCAAAATGTGTGGGGTGGAGATGGACACAGAAACATGAAACAGGATTCAAATTTTATGAGCATGGCTCAAGTCTGTTTTAACCCTTAATATTAAGTCCTGGCATGCTCTGTAGTATCACTAAAGAATAGAGAGATGGTACAGGCAAAGTACAGTTGTAGTTTGTGCAGTTCTTGTTTTTCTTGTGTTTCAGATTACTTGCACAAATCAGGGATCATTTACAGGGATTTGAAGGTAGCTTACGCCCGGAAAGGGAGGGCCGCACTAGGGAATATTGGCCCGAGGCAAGTGCGGCACTGAGGGCCAATATTCCCTAGTACGGCTCGAGCTAGCGAGATTAGTAAGTAGTTTGTTTCACGGCGCTTGAACCAATTGGTTTGTTTTGAATTTTTCGGCTTTCGCGACCGAAAAAAAAAACGGCTTCGGACCGTTTCCTTGGTCCGTATGTCAAAATAATAAGGAAGAACCAATCAGAACGCTCGAATTTACCTGAGGACTTCCTTGTCATTTATTAAAAAGTATTTCTCAGCTTGCAAATATCAAGTCAGGGAATATTGTCTTTACTCTTTTACTTATACGCGTGTTTCTTTTTATTGAACATATAGCTTGAGAATATCCTCATAGACAATGAAGGTAGGGGAATTTTTTTACTCTTTTCTCTTCATAAGAGTTGTCCTAGGGAAACATTAATTTTGATGTTTTCATTCATCATGCATATTAGCCTTTGTGAACACTTCTGTTTCCGATACTTCACTTCTTATGCGAGCAACATGCGTGTCGTCATCGTCACTCAATTCGCCCCAATACTCGAATCCATAATTGTTTTATGACTTTCTCCACAAAGTTTAAGCCGCTGTACAAATTCAGGATGACTAGAGTTGTAATCCTGTTGCTTTTACTGTTGCTATAGGTCACATCAAACTGGTCGATTTTGGTCTGTCAAAGTTAGTGAAACCTGGAGAGCGTGCAGGAACTATCTGTGGGACCCTGCAGTACATGGGTAAGGTGGTCAAAGGCTTTCCCTCAAATCGAAAGTTTTGATGGCTAGTTTCTACAGTAGGAAACACAAAGATGAAACCCAAGTGATCTAACTGTGGCGTTTTTTGCCTATTCTACAGCCCCTGAAATCTTGACTGGTAAAGAATATAGCCATTGTGTAGACTGGTGGAGTTTAGGCGTGGTGATGTACATTCTTCTCGCTGGAAAGGTAACACAAGTGCGAACGACTTTTTATCCCCTTTTTGTGGTTACTCGATAGATATTTTTGTCTGAATTTTGGCTATACCTGGACGCTAAATTGGCACCCAAGGTAGCGTGTCTCATGATGAAAAAAAGTACCGTATTTTCTCGAATAAACATCCCCGACAATTATTTCAAACTCGACGTTTACACTAATTTTATCGATCCATCCTCTGAAAGCCTGTGGTGTTTGGTCAAGAAGGACCCATTTACCCCTTCGTTCATTCGCAACAAACTGCTACTGGGTCTTCTTCAAGGATTGCCATCGGCAAGATTACAGCTATTACATGGGGCACGCGAATCGTATATTGCAACCCAGATTAGTAAGAAACAAAAGAACATAAACTGTGTATGAGATACTCGAACTTTACCAACAATACCAACGTAGAGCACATCTATATCGAGGCCTTGTCCCATCTTCGCGTTATCGTTAGACATGGAGTGGGTAACCTCTTTGCAATTAGGCGGGCTTGAAGTCGCTACTGTTGTCAAATTTACGATTTCGGGTCATGAGAGACAACTCATGTTCAAGGGTCAGTGAGTGTTAATAGAACTTCAAAGAAACACTGGACAGTAGTCTCGCAACACTCCTTGTCTTCATTTCTAAACGAAAGCATTGTCCAGGCGTTTATTTGAGGTAGACCTTTGTTCGGCTTCTGGTGGTAAGTCATGAAAATACGGTACACAAATTTAGAACGATAAACAGAAAAGTTCTTGTGACCAGCGTGGGAGTTATGCACTTACGGGGAAGTGTTCAGTTGACCTGAGCAAGTGGGATTTGAAGTTTTCATTCATTTCGGGCTTTGCGCTTCATCAGTGAGAAGTTTGGCGCATTCAGGTCTATTCCTAATGATCGAAGACTTGAATATGGCTGATGATGTGTAACCGTCCATACTTGTTTGTGGCGATTATTTGGCAGGTAATGACCAGTAATGAGACTTGGAAGTTCTCATCTACTTTATGCCATTATGCACTGCTTTAAAAGCCAACCCGGAGCCTTATATGTTTTCATTGTGATTTCAGGCTGCAGGTTGATTTCTATCCGTTTGTAAAGGTCTAATTTTAGCCAAGTGCATCCAAGGCTCTAGATATTGGGTAACGTAGTTTACCCATATTACCTCAAGGATCAAGAAAGATCAGGTTATCTTTTATGGCCCTAGATGCTGGTGCCGCAGTAGATCGGGCAGAAAGTGGATATCAAGTATGAAGAATTAGAGCTTTAGATGTTCACGATATCTCCTGCCCTAATGAGCTCGCCAGCACATGCGGTCAGAGAGTTGGAAAGTAGCACCAATTTTCACTGATAAGGGCCGGGCCCGAAATTTATGGAAGTTTAAATTCTCTAATGTGGTGGTTCCTTTTGTTGGTGTTAACATAACTCTTCTTCACCAGGTAACCTTGAATACCTTTACAAAACTGGGCATGTCGAAAGTTGTATCGGTATCGAAAATATGTCAGCCAAAACGACAGGAAAGTCATCTTTATAAATCAGTGGTTAATTTATAGATAATATACTTCTTGTCTGTATTGTCCTACAGTATCCATACCCAGTCACACAAGAGCATGCCACCCAGTTCAAAGTGGTCAGCGGTGTCGAGGTTGACTTTCCACTAGACCTTTCACCTAATGCGATCAGCATTGTTCAGGGGGTATTTACCTTTCCTTTTTTTACGTCTCCAATTTGAGATGAAGTGTTTTCAACGGATGAATTCTTTACATAATCTTTTATAGCTCTTGCAGAAGGACCCCGCTTGTAGGATATCAAGTGTTGAATCGTTTGAGACGCACGCGTATTTTAGTGATCTGTTGTTCAAGGACGTATTGGAAAAGAAGGTGAGTTTATGGACTGGTTCCAAGGTTCCAACACCTCGCAGTCGTAAGGGAGTACATTCGCACATACAAAAGGAACTCTTGACACAGAACGTTAAGGATTGACAGCTCCAGTTTTCCTACTTGTCTCTAATTCGTGTAACATTAAGCACACTAGGATACCACTCACGTTCCACTCGAATCAAACGCACTACTTTTGAAAACTGCTATTGCTGCGAATTTGAACAGAGTTGTTAAAAAATTGTTTGTGAGGCTCATTGTTAGGTGCCTGGGTTTTGTTCTATAATTTTGTTAGTTTTACTTTAATATGCTCTTGTTCCGTGTGCGCCAGTTTGTGCACTGTCCCTGCTACTAACGTTTTTTACATTAGACGCGACATAGGGCTTTTCCTCGTTTCATGCCCCCACAACATTCTCCCCAGTGTGTCGACAGCTTTTTCGACGTTAACGATTAAACTCAATCAGCTTATTGCTTGTAGCGAGAACCCATCACCGTGGAAACACTCAAGACATTAAGGCGGAGAAGCATCGGATCTAGAACGTGAGTTGTCGGTGTTCATGTTGTTGATGCCATGGTTAGTTGCAGTGTTAGACTTCTGTGAAGTAGCCTTATTTGTATTTGTTTTCTTGTCAGGATCTTCCCCAGAAGAATCGAAAGAAATCGTCGAGAGAAGAAGGTGGGTCTTAAAGGATGAATAATGCTGCAGGCAGCAACATCCACACTTCTGACGGTTCTGTATTTGAAGATTGGTCGTATGTCTACTACGACCACTAGTATTACTGCTATTCCTTTGACAGAAGGGTTTTTCCGTGCAGTAACCAGTCAGGAGTTTTGTAGTTGATATATCAGTCATCAAGTGACCTTTGATGGCAGCGACATCTACTCTCGGCCAGAGGCAAAGGCCTCATTATTGGTCTCCGAGTAAGCTTCTACTCTGCACATATACTAAGCAAAAGTTACTCAGGCACTCTCCCCTCCCCAATGAGTTTTTCATGAAACTCGTTACTCTTAAAGCAATCTCTTTTCTCGTTTTACGCATATAGCCCCGTCCGTTGTCGTGGGCGAATCCAGGAAACTTCACCGTGCGAGATAAAACCCACATGGACTGGCTTGTAGCTGACTTGGGAAGTCTACGCACACTAACGCTCAGCAGTAACACAGAGGAGGGCGCTGGAACTGAGTATTTAGTGGCTTCGTGAAAATGGTTACAGGTGAAGTGTTAAAGATCTGAAAGGCCGCGATGGTGGACCATATTCTGGCTACTGGGGCATTTATTTCTTTCTGTGCGTGACCAGAAGAACTCAGGGTCCATGAGGTAGAATCAATAAATAATGATTGGGAGTTCTGAATTAAACCGCCTAGTGAGATCAAGGTAGCCGTAGCTAAAAGTGGCGTGAGCCCCAAAAGATCTGAGTTTTGAACAATTAGGAAAACTGGTGATGTTATGTGACGACAGGCATCCCTACCCTTTTCACATATGATCTCTTTCACCTCACCCTCCTGCACAGTATTTATTGAACGGATTATTAATATAATATATTTTTTAATATATCGAAGTGTTTCACGCTCCTGCATGCATTTCTGAGAATAGTTCAGTTAATATATACAGTGTATAAAAGAAACATTCAAACGTATTATAATAATTTTATTATTATTATGATGATGTACATCATAGAGAAATATCCAATACGAATATGCGTACTATGCGCATTTAAGAGAGATCCTAGAGGTTCTTACATCTCGTTATAATGTTATGCTGTTGCAGCAGACCGTCAAATTGTCAGACATGCTCCTTCACGACAATTGTGACTTTCAGCTGATGTAAATGCAGTCGACTCTTGATAACTCGATCCTGTGTGGGAAACAGAAAAAATTTATAGTTACCGGGAGTTTAGGGGAAAAAATGCAGAAAATAGAGGTGAAATGGTATTAACTGTTCCTCTGTTCTTATAGTACAAATTCTGATCAAATTTTGATCAAAACGTAGACTCGTGGAGTTAAAATGGAACACTTTGAAAAGACCCTAAAAGCAGCACAGTGACAGCAAAATATATGGCACTGTATTGAGATGTACCCTACTGGAAAAACTCGTTTTTGTTGTTCGCGAAAAGGAAGGTGACAGAAAAATGCACAACTGCTTCAAAATGATTCAATCTTTGGACTACAGTGCCATGTGTTATGTTTTGGTTAAAGTCATCAAGTGTCAAATTATATGGGAAGTGTCTCTAATTAGCGGAGGGGTTATGTTATCGATAGTCGATTGTATTATGACTTAAAAGCAAGATTAATTAATAATGAAAACAAAACTATGGCATAAGAAGCACGCCAATGGTTCTTAATTATGTCAACCCTAAAAGCATAAATACCACGCTGCGGGTAAAAAAAAAAAACAACTGCTAACTATTGGCCATATTATCTATATTGGAAATAGTGCCAAATTTCGTAGGAAATCTACCGGAATGCGAAGATGACAGCCAGTAGTTGACTAGCACCCTGAGAGGAGTTGTTTCCGAACACCAACAGTGTAAGAACAATTATATTAAAAGCCACAGGTTTATGAAAGCTTGCCTTTTTTCATTGTTCCATTAATTTATAATGTTAACTGAAATCCTTTTCGTGTAATTACAAAATCGTACGCGCGCGCAGTGCGAGTTGCTTTTCTTTTGCTAGAATCCTTAAAGTATTTATACTTTCTATTTAGCTTCTCACTTATTCTGAGAGTAACATGTTTCTTTCAATTTCAAGTTTTATCTCTGAAATCGAGTACGATAGCATTCAAATGACATGTGGCCATTTTTATTAGCGTGAGTCGGAAAGGAAGTCTTGACTTAAACCTCTACTGTTGAACCAAATTGTCAAAATGGTCTTTAAAATTGTAATTTGGAGGTATTGATGGGAAAAAAGTCTTGTGTAAGAGAAACTTTACTGTGGTGTAAGCTATCTTGAAACTGGAATTTTCTGCGCGCCGCCATATGAGATGGTATAACGTGCAGGGTTGCCACCATTTATCTGTATTTTTCTTGCAAATGAAGTAGCTAATGTTTCCCTTTCGTTCTAACGTTCTTGTCAGTTTGACGGCAATTTCAGCAATGGATGTATTCTATTACAGGTAATAACAGCGGCAAGGGACAAGGCATTTGCTATTCATGGCCGAATGTATATACACGGCTGTATGTTTTCGTAGCGATGACGTTCCAACTCTCCATCCCAGCGGGGATTTGGTACCTCTTATGATAGACGGCAAGGAAATGTTCTAGTCTAAAAGGGTAGCTTCCTCAGGCTAGAAACAAAAGGTCGAAATGTTAAGAAATTATGATATATATATATATAAGATCTGAGTGTTTGAAAGGGTCCAACGGCTGCTGTCGGTAGAGAGGTTACTTGGAAAGGGTACTTGTCGACGGAAATTCTCCTTTTTCTCGTGTCCTATTCTCATTATGTTTTGGAGTAAAGAAGGCGTTCTTTGATCTTGGTAGGATTACTACAGGAAATCACATACTTTCGATTGTAATTTGGAGTATTTGAGCAAAAGTGATTTCTTTCTAAGACGTACTAAAGTACACGAGCTTGTGGGGCGGGTGAAATTTGTTGTCTAGGGAAAAATTTATGATTGCTTGGTCATTCCAATTTGCACGAGAAAAGTAGTGATTGCCTATTGATATTATGTCTAAATACAAAATTTGGGATAGCCTTAAATAATTATGCAGTGGCAAAAGCGCGTTAATCGTGTGCAGGATAATGTGTCCTAACCTGAAAATTCCATCGCGTGTTCGGTTAAATCAAACCAACAATTTTCTAAATGTTTTTTTTTTGGAAGTTTTCAGCTGCAAAATAGTTCAAAACCTGACCATACACATTGTTACCTTCCTTTGCTCTGATTAAGCACTTTACCTCCCTTCTGCCCTGTGTTATCAAAATAATAATAAAAATGAAGAAATTATTCGCGTCCGATTGGCTTAAAACGGGTGCATTTTTCATGGAAGTCGAATACGAAAGTGTAACACGAATGCAAATTACAAATAGGGCGCACGCGCTGTCAAAATTTCGCCTGTCTTGACTTTCAGTGATGCTTTTTTCATGCAAATTTTTTGTAAGTAAGAATATGATTTCACGTGGAATTTGGTTTAAGTAAGCGCTTGTGAATTTTCAAAGACTACAAATTTCACTCGCCATACGGGCTCGTGCAGTTTCGCTATCTTTGGAAAATTCACTCGTGCTTATTAACACCAAATTGCACTCGAAATCATGTTATTGCCTATACAGATTGCATTTCTCTTGTCAAAAAGTCAGAAGTAAGAAATATTTCCATGTACGTTATTATTATATGTGTAAACCTTGTGTGAACTCTTTATGCGACCCCGGATACGTTTGCTTTTTCACTTGAGCTGAATCCTTGCGTTGTAAGAGAGGGATAATCCTTAAACGGTCAAATGTCGAATTAGCCCGTCTTGCCGCCGAATAATCCTTGTTTCGACCCGAGCAGACCCAGATCGTGGGTTGAAATTTAATTAGCCCAGTAGACTAGTAAACCCGGGTTAGCACTTTCGCCCAAATGGCAGTCTACCTTTTTTTCTTCTTTCCTTTCCACATTAAGACCTATTGCCATTCTGTCATCATTAAAATTTTTTTTATTACATTGTTTGGCTGCAGGAAAGTCTAAGTCGGGTCATTTCGCAGTAAGCCACTTGCCCTCATTGACTGGCTACGTGTCTCGTTTATTGTCTTTATGTAAAGTTCTTTTTGTGGTGTTTAAATCAAATTGGACGAGGAAGCCCTTTTCGCAGCTTTTTGATTTTGAGCTCCGCAAAACAAAGCAGCTCGCGGACAAACAGGTAAAACCTTGATATCATAAAGACACTAGGAGCACAATCCGCAATAATGAGTCAACTTTGTTCATTCAATCGGTTCCTTCTTGGGAAATTACGGAAACTTGAGGGTTTTCCTTCGGTTTCACCATTTTAACGCCTTCTGCACTAGAATAAATGAACGAAAAACGTTACCGTGGATATACCACAGCTAAATTCTGTATGTTCTGTTATCTTTTTCTTTTCATCGCTATATTAACATGCTAGGATAGTCTAGTGAAAAGAAACATATAATCAAATAAATGAGTAAAAAAATTTGAAACTCATGAATAAAGATGTGTTTGAGTTTGAAAATGATGATTTAGAGACGTTTTGTTGTCCTTGTTGCGGTGTTAGTAGAAGAGAATTGAACGACAAAAGCCATTGTAAACGTCTAACATTGGTTCTTACCGGACTCGCGTAATTAGGGTCTAATTATTGATGGAACGCGAATAGAACATAAAATATAACAATATCGAGTCATCAATATAGAAATTCACATGAACAATATATCTTAACTCAAGGTACCGTGACATGACACAGCCATTTTAGAGCATTCAAAAGTGGAAACGTTTTGCTTTGTTTTTTATTTTGTTTTGTTTTTTTACCCTGAGGTCTGTGAGCGTTCCTATAAGCAAAAGAAGAGAGCAACTGAAACAAGCAGAACCGACATCAAAGACAACTGTGCTTTATCAACAATGCTGTGTAATAATCAGGTCGCTCTTTTCTGGATTAAGAGTCGAATTTTAAAATTTTTGACTTATTTCCTATTTCGCTTCCTCTGTAGACGGCCTAGAAAAGTATATTGCGAAATACCTTTGACATATTTGGTCATATCGCATTAATGGCGTGTTGTGTTGAGGCGTGAAACATAATGTGGGAAATTCTGTCAATTTTTAATCATCTTCGCTCGCAAATGTTTAAAAAATGGGATATCAGTGACCATTAAAACGGTCTCAAATAAAAAATTTCCTTCACAGCTGGTTAACCAAGAGTACTTAAAGAAACAGTGTGGCTTGAATATCAGCGGCTAAGGCGAATGTCTCCGAAATCGAAAATGATCGACGGAAGTCGGAAAACCTCAAGCCGGAAAATGATGCACAGATCGAAGACATTGAAGATCTTGCGATTTCATGCTTTTTTTTTAATATCACGACCTCGTAAAGGTTCGATTCGTTTTTCAACCACGTTATACGGAATATCATAAACAACTCGAGGAAGTTTTACATATTGATAACTCAAATATTCCTTCACGAAAGTGTCGGAAAATAAAATTCAGCGCTGTACTGATAACTGGAACAAGCGATTGTTTTCACTTTATTTTTCTTTGGTTTATATCCATTAACGGGTCTCCCTTTTCTGACTCAACTTAACAGTCGCCGTCGGGGGTATCCTTCACAAGACGCGTTTGGCGCGGAACAAAAATTACAGGCACCACTAACATGTTTTCTAACATGGTTACCGGCTTCAAGCGTTTTTTAAGTGGGATGAATTGCGCAGTGTAGGAATAGTTCCACGAAAACGTAGCAGAACGTGTATTGATTTTTTTAAAGAAATACTGTGGTTGTCTAGTCTAATCAAAACTGTTATTTGTTCTTTGTGACGTAAACGGAGTAATTGAAGGGTGTCTTCAAATCTTGCATACTTTTAGAAATGCTAAAATAAACATTTCAAATGAAATCAATGCACATTTCCCGTGAAACAGTTCACAAGGCATGCTAAACAGCTCGTGTTTTGTTTGCATTTCTGATTCGTCAAATAGAATTCTTTGCCTTGTTTTTCGCACGAAATTGAAATTCTGGCACTGCGGAAAGTTCCGGTGGTTTTGCATAATAAAAACTTCAATCACGTGTCTCGATTGTTCGCTGTCATTTGATTGGCAGCTCAAGCGAAAGGCGAGATATACTATTGTTCGCCGTCATTTCACTACTGCAGGGAGATCAGTCTGGCTAAGTGGTAAGGTTATAAAAGCTGTTCTTTATTGCCCGTTTTTGTTCTTAAAAAGGGATCAAAATAACATTGGTTGAGGGTTAATGGATTTTTCTACTGTTTTCAAACGAATTTTGCGGTCTTTTTGGGATTTTTAGATGATTTTAATAGTAAGTTCAGTGTAAGTTATATGTTGTAACTCTTCTCAGGTAAAGCCATTTCTGGTTGTAGGGTGTCACATGTTAATCCAGTTAAAACGTCCTTGTTTAGTACTACCTCTTTTTAAAAACTACAGAAATAGCTTCTCCAGGATTTTTGGCGTCGTTGAAGATTATTTTTAAGGTGACAAGAACGAGAAAAAGCGTTTAAAACTTGATGTAAACCAAGATGGAGTACAAGGAAGCCAACAAAACAAGAATTTACATGGAAGCGAGGTCAAGTATTTCACACACGGGAAGAGTACGGTTTCATTTTTTGTGTCCGCGATTAACACGCCAAAAGCGATAAAAAACTTAGTCAGAATAAGACAAAGAGTTTATATTTTACTTTTGAAAGTGTTCTGTTCGAACAAAACAGAGATAAAGAATATTTCGAGTGAGAAACACGACTGAAACTAAAAGGTTATTGAATATTCAAAGAATCGAAAACAGTTCAAGCGTGGAGGGCTTGCGATTGCTGATAAAACTACAAGCTTTACGGTAAGCTAGTTAACGCATCGCGCTTGTAGCTTATCTGGTAAGAACAGTTCTTCATATGTAAACAATTTTCTGTGCTCGATTCGAGGAAATAGTGTTGAACTATCGCGATTCTTTTACGAATTAGAATTAACACTAGACGCTTTTTGGTACCGCGCGCGGGTTGTTACAAAAATAGAGTGTAAATTGATTTCTCCACGTTGAGTCGCAATTTGTCCGCTCTTGTTTGGCAGATTGTTAAGCGACGTTCAGGAACTAACGTTTCCCATTTTTAAATGTGACTATCGAGTGTTGTGTTGATCTTTATGTTGGGACTTGCCGGAGCACATACGCTGTAAAGCCGTTTTCGATTTGTATTAAAAACTTTCTCTTTCATATCGGGTGGCCAGCTTGTTTTCGCCATCAGCCGTGTCGAAAAAAAAGTGTCAGATCGCGCAGTCTGTCTTTCGGATAGAGTTTGCCGATGTTTTGCAATCTTTTTAAAAGAATGACATCATTTATTCGGAAGCATACCTTCTAAGGTTATGTTTTCAAGTGTTATTTTTAAAATCCCAAAGTTGCCTTCTCTAAATTTATTTAACGTCTTCCCACGAGCCAATTTGTAACACGCTGACGCATGTTTCACGCGACATAAAACTTTTTCACTGTTAGGAAAGAAAGGAAAAAAAAAAGGAAAAAATTATTAAAAATTTTTTCTCGAGTTTTCCTGACTATCTGGGTGATCTCTTAACACCAAACAAATTGATTGTCTTCGAAGAAGTATGATTGTTATTCGGAAGCCGTGTTTTCGAATGTCTTTGTGGCTGGCGATTTGTTTAAAAAACCGCGGCCGCGTGTTTCATGACATAACCACACTCAAAACCTCGTGTCTTGTAGAAATGACGAACATGAAACCCTTTTCTAGATTTCTAATGGCTGTTTCGCTCTCTTAACACCAGAGGTAACAAATGGAATTCGCAGATAACGGCCTCGTATATTTTTTTTACTTTGCTTTGTTGTTGTTGTACTTTTTTTGTAAGTGACCGTTTTTAATATGCTTTAGGCTTCAAGCGCTTCCTGAGGAAATAGTTGGAACACTGTTTATTTTTTTTTAAGAAAAAAAAGCGAGAAATGCACACATGCCTGTTGTCACGTGAGGTTAAACAAAAGACTATTATTGGCACCAGGCTGTCTTAAGTCAACAGTGAAGGTGTTTATTTCAGTTTTGTGATAGTGGTAATGAACTACCACAGTGCACAAGTAGGTACTTCCTTAAAGAAATGTGAAAGTTCCCCTTGAGGGAAAAAAGTTACATTCCAAACTCATGAAACATAGAAGTGCATAGTAATTATTATCAACTTTCAACAACAGAGTTGGTACATTCTTTCTTTTTTGTGTTTAGCAACTTAATATTATTAGTAGTCATGTCTCTTTTCATTTGTGAAGCATTTGTAGAACACCATTTGAAAAGCTGGGCTTTTAACTATGTCATAAATCAGATAAACTGAGAAATATTAAGATAAAGGTTTTATGGAAAGATCATATTTAAGGGATATAAGGAAGCCTGCAATTTCCAATAATTTTCTTTGGTTTTGCTTACTTCAGGGACTTTTAAGAATGTTTTATTTTATAGGTGACAGCCAGAGTTATTTATGGCTTGCAAATCATTTATCTTTGGCAAGATTTCTACTTTGAATATTTGTGTTATTTCCTTATTTATCATGGCTATAGAGACTTAAATTGTTTTAAATGTGCTAAAGGTGACTAGTTCCACTGAACACTTTTAGGTTTGTATACCAGTCAAATGATTGAATTGTTTTACATTTATGGTTTTTGAGTAGCGCAATAGTCAAGAAAGTAACATACAAACCAATTGCATACTGTAATATGTTCTTATCTTTTCTGGACATTTTTTTCTTATCAATTCTTTTCTCTGAGTCAATAGTGAATACTAATTTGATGTGAAATGTCTTCAGTAATGGTATTTTACTCAGAAGAGAGGTTGAAAAAATAATGTTCTCTTATGACAGAAAGCAGGAATGTGTTACAGTACTTGGTGATCAGAATGAATGGGCCTGCAGAAGCAGTTGGAGTCACTTGTTCAGTGAGTGAAAACTTTGAGCCACATGCCAAGAAACAGAGACTGGATAATGATTGTGAACAGAAAATAGACTTTCAAACTTCATTGCCTTCTAAAAGCCTTCAAGGTAATTAACAGCTGTTAATGGGGTGAAGTTGTTGGTCTAAAATAATTAAAAAATGATTGAAAATCTGGCTTTTTTTTCCAATACCTCGTACTTCTTTAATACATTTTCTCTTCACTGAATTATAACAAACATATATAAAAGCTGATTGCATAGTACCATTTCAAAAAAAACAATAAAAAGGAAAAATCATGTTCACATTTTAAAAAAGAAGAAAACTTTTAATTATTTGTAATGTAAGTGAGTCCTAAAAAAACAATAATGTCTTGAATACACTTTTAAAGGTAAAGGGATGCAGACATGAAAGTTGGTCTACCTCTGCTATTAATTATGATGTTGCTACATTTTAACTTATCATTAATTTATTGAAAAATAGTTCAAGGTCGCTAGGGTTTGAGTTATTGGGATTGGTGTTGAATTTCAATTATCTTGTTAATTAATTTTGTACATTTAGTTTGTTTTTATAAGCGCTCTCCTATAATTACTTTTAGTTTGGAAAATTAATCTAAATGTGTTAGGTTTTCATAAATGTTATTATGTTCATATCAATAGCAATTAAAGGTTGGGAAGTGTCAGTCAGTTATGTTCTGACAAGTTGACATTTATCAACCATTGTTTTTACTTGAAGTTTTTACATAAGTTTGATTTATGAGTGTAAGTTTTAGCCAAGAGAAATAAAATTTGTTTGAGTTGAGGGGAAGTTTGAGTGAACCCAAGTTCAAGACAGCTGACAGAAAATGCCTGGAAAAATGGGATCAAATCTAAGGGAAAGTGGATCTTGTTCAAGCTAGCAGGGGTTCCAGTGAACTGGTTTTTAGTTTGTGGGGGTTCTACTGTAACTATGATTGTATTGTTTTTATGTAGCTATATGAGAAGAAAACTATACTCAATCAATAGAAACTCTGAATTTATCATGTCTAGTATTGAAAAGCCAAAGTTTCCTGCTTTATATCTTGTGCATAACAGACCAAATTGAAATCTCAGACCTTGGTGGTAATGGAAAAGAGCAAATCACAGCTGTCACCCATGACCAGGTTGAACCTAGCAATGAAGGCACACCAATTGCAGGCAGCAAAAAGAATAATCCAATTAAAAATGTGGAGGACCCAAATTCAGAGGGAAACAAAAGTGTTGTCAATGGCCAGCAGCATCTAAATAACAATATAGGAGACAGCAAGACCCAAGCTTCCAGTGATTCAAAAGATTTGCCCATTGTGAAAAAAGAAAAACCAAGTTTTGAGGAGGATGATCCATTTGCAGCCCTGGACTGGAAAGATGGAATTGCTACCCTTCCAGGTATTGATGTATACATGATTATAATATTCACTCAGATCATTTACCATAGTTAGAGTAAAGTTTCTTAATATGCTATTTTAGGGAAAGAAGAGAGATCTTGCAGAGAGGATTTTTATCTGAACAACATTTTCAAAATGTACTTTTGAATATGATCGAGTTACAGTTATTTTGCTCTCAACCAGACAGCAAAATAAATCACATTCCAAAACACCTTTGTGAAATATTTAACAGGGCTCACTTGATGTGGAATGGCTGAAAGCCAGTGAGGCACTGGCTCTCATTGATTAAAGTATTATCATTTGTCTCACCATGAAGTCACTACCCATATGGAATGTGACATTTCCACTACAAAAAAATGTCAGTCTATTTCATGAGATGAGAGCAACTAGATATGTATACCTATTGAAGTGGCTGGTTTTCCACAGCTGCAATCTGTGCATTTGGAAGATGTTCCTCGTAGTAGTCTGCTGTTGCATGGCTCTCTTGTTGCTGTGTTTCTTAATTTTGGGTATCCATACCTTTGGGATATATATTTCGCAGACGCTGGTGTGTTTGTTTGGGCAAAGTTTTATGTGAGGAGCAGTTTTTATCCTGCAAGAACAAAGTAAAAGAGGTTACTTACCCCAACAACATCAACAGAGATAGTAGAATACAAATCCCAAAAGCATGGATGCTCATAATCAAGAAGCACAACAATAGAAGAGTAATGCCTCAGCAGATGACTGAGGGAACATATCTTTGAAATGCTCCAATTACAAATTATTATGAAAAACCAGCCAATCACAGTGGAGAATAGTACTCATAAGGTGGTATGTACTCCACTGACCTTGACCTCGCTGGGTGAAGATCAGCAATATACCCATTGAGATGTCATGATCCATTCTAAAAGCAATAAAATCATGAGACAAAACATAATACCTCAGTTCTGGTGTATCACGATGAATGATAAGCATGCACAACCTTTTTGACAATGATGCGGTCATAAAGTTGGCTCCAAGCAATAATCACCAAGTATCTGTTGATCCTTGCAGAGAAAATTGTTATCTTTTCAGAATATGTTATTGTGTAGGTGCTCTGTACAAAAATCAGTGAGATGTCTAAGTGACTTTCAGTTGAAGGCATTTTCACTTGACATCAACTCTGATTTTCACATCATATGGGAGATTCCTAGAAACTCTAACATTTATTGTTTAATTTCCACTTTCATCAAGATCATGTGAATGCATCTGCTACAAATTAAAATAATGTGTATGTTAATGTTCCTTGTAGATTTAGTTTGAAGTCTTCACTTGATTGATTTTTAATTTCATTAGTATATGACAATTTTCCAGCCAAGGAGAAAACAGACTCGACATATCCACAAGTAGCACATGGTTAAAATTGTTATTGCTTTTTAATTTCTTCATTGGCATGTTTTTCAACAGGGAGCAATCTGAAGTTTAAACTGACTGAGTTTGGGACTCTAGAGATAATAAGTACAGTGGAAACAGAGAAAGGTGAAATACAGTGGAGTACACCTACGGAACATCGAAAAACAGGAAGTGAGGAAACAAATGAAAAATCAAGCGAGGGAACGAGACTAGATGACAAGAAAGACAGTGGTACGCATTTTTAAGACAAATGGCTTTTAAAAAGATACTGCCACATATAGTTATTTTAAGTGAAGATTGTTAACAATCTCTCTATTTTCTCAGTGTAAATCAACCGGAATGATATAACACCGCATTTGATTTACGCAAGGTTAGAGGTCACACGAGGATGTTATCAGCACAAGGAAAACCTCTGTGATCTAACATCCTGCTTTGTAGCAGTACAGTAATGAGAAGATTGTGACCAACAGGGTGATTTGTTTTAATGCTACATATGTTTGAGTAAGAGATGGCGTGAGTTTTATTAGACCAATCATAAAGCGCAGTTAAACTGGTAACGCAGTTCCAGATTATTACCTATTGTCAATTGATGATTACTCTGAACAACATTCTACTGTTGTTATTTCATTAGAGGATTGTTTTTATTTTTTTTTCGTATCCGTTGATCAAACATTTCGACATTCTCTCAGGTATTCCGAAGAAAGCTAATACGACAAAAAACAGTTCTCCTAATGCTACCGACATCCTGTGCTGTGAAGTGTGCGGGAAGAATGGGTTGCGGCAGGAATTCTCAGCATCAGGAAGGTTTTGTGGTTTGTCTTGTGTGGGAGTATACACCGGCAGAAGAAACAAGGGCAGGGAATTTGTGCGCAAGGTCAAAACTGCAGACGGAAAGATCGTGAAGAAGAAAAAGAAGGGAAAAGGAAAGAAAATCGGGACAGTGGAGAAACCACCGGTGGCAGCTGGTGCACATGTATGTGAAAAATTTCAACGATATTCTGTTCTCAGCCTGTGTTGCATTTTTTAAAGAATTAGAGTCACTGCCAATATGGTCACTCCTTCTCAAAGTATGGCGCATAAGGAAGATCCCTTAGCTTGGTCAGTCAGTGATACATTCGGTTGTTGTTCACCTACTCGTTTTCTCGATTTGTAGGACTCTGTAACGTCAGTTCAGGATGCTTCGCTTGTGGGCAAGTTTAAACTAAAAGGCAAAGGAGAAAAACACAAAATCAAGGCGGCCAAGCAACAGATCTCGTTGGAACCCTCCAATCTGATGAAAGGAGAAGACGGTAAATACAACTGATATTGAATGAACTTCACTTCCTTTTCTCTTGAACCTCCTTACCCTCCAAGATTCAGTCAACTAACCTTTTATTTCATTGTTTTTTTTTTATTTTAGTTCCGTATGACTCTACCAAGCCGTTCGTATGGTCAGAATACTTAGTAGCGTGTGGTGCCAAAGCAGTCCCTAATATTGTATTTAAACAGGTTTGTTGTCAGTAATTATTTTCTTATTTGTATAATTTTAGTTCTCACCTTTACACTTTGTTGAGTTTTGTTTTCTTTATCCCAAGGGATCAGGTTTGGAACCCTATGTTTTCCCATAGTTTGCGATAAGACTGTATAACACCATACCTTGGTATATAGACTTTACATTTATTGTCTTGTCAACTCCTTGTGTATAAAAAAAAAAAAAAAAAAAAATGGAAATACACTTCTTCGTACAAAGCACAATTGTGACAGGTACTTCACATTTGTACACTGCAGGAAAATCCCTCTCTGGATGTGTTTCCAAAACCAAATCACTCTTTCAAGAAGGATTACAAGTTGGAATGTATTGACCCTAAACACCCGTCCTACATCTGTGTGTGTACCATAGTCAAAGTAAAAGGAGCACGCCTCAGGCTTCATTTTGATGGTTGGTCTGAGAGTTACGACTTCTGGACTAACGTGGATTCGCCGTTTATCTATCCCATGCACTGGTGTGAAAGGAACGGCCAGGTTCTGCACCCACCAAGAAGTAAGTCACCCAAAGTAACTCAGTTTTCGAGGTCTTCGTCGAAGAACCCGAACATTTTCTGATTTCATGTTGTCCAATCAAAAGAATACGAACACTTCAACCGAAACTTCCGGAAAATAAAGGCTTTGGGAGTTGGATTCAGCCCATCGAAGTTTAAATCTTCAATTAGAGTTGTGGAGAAGTTTAAAAGGATAAAAGGCAGGGTAGACCGAAGAGAACTAATAAATCACGTAAACTGCTTAGCCATGGTCACGGGTGCTTGGTGTATGATGAATGCTTTCTCTTAGTTCGTTTTTCATTTCAGGTTTCACGAAACAGGAGTTCAACTGGGAAAAGTACTTGAAGAAATGTGGAGCTAAGGCGGCTCCAGAAAATCTGTTCAGAGAGGTAAGTTTATGCTAAAATACGTCAAATTACCGAAACATTGATGGTGCTATGGATAGTTGAATTTACCATGGATGTAGTTACTGATGTATTTAGATGTTTTTGTATCTACATGAATGAAATTAAAATTAACGAAAATCTGTCTATTAGCTTCTAAATGTGTAATTTTTCATCCTAACACGACAGGTCCAACCGACATTACACGGATTTAAAGTCGGCATGAAACTAGAAGCTGTCGATCGCAAGAACCCGGATCTGATCTGTGTTGCTACGGTGACCAACGTGATTGGCAACTATTTCTTAGTTCATTTTGACGAGTGGGACGACTCTTATGACTACTGGTGTCAGGACGATTGTCCGTACATTCACCCTGTCGGGTGGTGTGCAGAGAACGGCAAGAAACTTAACCCTCCTAATGGTTAGTAGTAGTAAGGTGATATGATTTCTAATAATATATCTGCATGCGAAGAAAAAGAAACATTCCATGGGTGTATGTCGGATATAAGATGGTAAATAGTAAATGAAACGCGTTGCGCTCAGTGGGCGACAATTAATCTCTTATTTAACGAGCGTGATTGAACTTATAGTTTAATTAAATTGTCCTATTTTCGATATAAATTTGGAAGCTGACAGCATTTGTTATTGCGCTCAAATTTGGTAAACCATTCAGCCGAAAAAAAGTTGGGAAACGTCGGAGCGTTCGTTTTTAGGCTTGGTAAAATGGGTAATATTTATGGTAGTTTGTTTTTGAGATGATCATTTGCAATCCATGATCCTCCAGCATTTTTATTGTCTGCTATCTCAAGATTTTACTAAATTTTTAGGCAATTCTCATTGAAGCTAACTTGTCTCAAAATATCGCACATTTCAGATGACGAAGTGTACACATTCCAGTGGGAGGAGTACCTGAGGACGACTGGTGCTGTTGCGGCGCCTCCAGATCTCTTCAAAAAGGTCTGATTTATACGTTAATCCTTGAAGGCCTTTATTTTTGGATCAAAGGGGGTAATTTAATTAAATTATCTGCTAGGTTTCTTGCTATAACCACTAGATAAAAATATTTCAGAGTTTTTTATTTCTCTGAAGACTTGTGTATTTGAATCATCTTTTATGTTATTATGTGAAATTTTGGTTAAGTGGCCACATCATTTAAATATTATTTGGCCACAAAATGTAATATTTTGATTTAAAACTGAACACTCCTAATCCATCTTTCAAGGTCTATATTATGGAAATAAACTTGCTGCACACGACAGAAAATTATATTAAGTCCTTACATGCTCTTTTGGTTTTTTAATGTAATTGAACTGGAGTGCGGTTTGGTGTGATACCGCACTTTCCTGCAATTTGATTCAATTTAGAGAAGCCTCGAAATCTGATTTGTTGTTTTGGCTGGAATAGATGCGATTTAGAGCAAAACATTGTGTGATTTGTGAATAACCAATTTGCATGCAAAAATTTAAGCATGCTCATTGGCTGAGAACACGTCAATTCAACCCATTAAGTGCAGAAAATTGAAATTGAGTGAAAAAGGTTGAAATTAAATTGCTTGATTGGAAAGAAATAGGTTAGAAGGAAGTAACAACGTTGTAATTCTGAGTTTGAAGGAGGGTGCTAAGGACGAAAAACATCCAGCAAAGCACAAAAAACTGAACAAAGGTCCGGAAGTCTAGGATTCCACTACCTAACTGAGAAAAAGTCTAAACACTTGACTATTCGTGACAGAAAGTATAAAAGCTTAAAGCAAGTTCTTGCGGGAAAGACCCGATAATTCCAGAAACAACCCACCAATTAGTCAGGACACGAAATAAACACGACTAAGAGAAAAATGTTTGCCTATATTTTTATCAACAAGTAATCACATGAATTTTTGGGGGTGATTTGGGATAAATCAGCACTTGTAGATTTTTCAAAGACTACAAATTGCACTCGCCCTACTGGCTTGTGCAATTTGGTTGGCCTTTGAAAAATTTACTTCTGCTGATTTATTCCAAATTGCACTTGATTTCTTGCGATTACCTTTACAAATCGTTCTGCTGAGAGCCTATCAGATTGTAGGATCACTGTGATTTCAAAATGGATGCAATGAAGTAATGTTAAGCTTCACCCTGATGCATTGTTTTCTTTGTAGCGCCCCAAGCCAAGTTTTAAGCCTGGGGAGAGAATGGAAGCAGTTGATAAACGGAATCCATCTCTAGTCCGAGCAGCTAGAGTAGCTGCAGTGGAAGAATACAGAGTCAAGGTGCATCTAGATGGCTGGGATGATATCTATGATGACTGGTTTGATGCTGATTCTACTGACCTACACCCAGTGGGGTGGTGCGAAAAAACGGGACATCCTCTGGAAACGCCCTTAAGTGAGTGTCGATTGTATCACCATTTGATCGTATTTCCATCATTAATGGGAGGGGGGAGAAGGCTGCAAATTGTAATCTTTTTTGCCTGCCGTTACTCAAAGTTAACCACAAAAGATTCAAAAGAAAGTGTCAGTGACTCTACCAAATGATAGGTGTCGTCAACAGACGATACGAAGCTCGCACTCAGGTCGGTATTCGTGTACCCCTCTTTCTTTGTAAACTTCAGTTGTATTCGGCTGCTTATGCTGGAGTTCTCATTGCCTGTTACGGAATTTTTGAATTAGCCTTACACCGCATGATTTTCAACCGTTATTCCATATATAACATTATCGATGTCGAGTAGAGACCTTTATCCTAGATCAGTCCAGCAGCCAATCTCATTATAATGGTTGTCTTTTCTTTATAGCAACCCGCGAAAAGATCTCAAGTGCTGCTTGTCCGACTCCCGGATGTAAAGGCATTGGTCATGTAAAGGGCGCTAAGTATTCCACTCATCACAGCACGTTTGGCTGCCCGTACTCACTGCAGAACCTGAACAAAGACTCATGCCTAGTGGATCGGCTCTCCAACAACTCCATGACTGAAGAATCCGACTGGTCCTATGCTTCTAAACAGAAAACGACTGGATTTAAAGAAGTAAAACGTAAGGCTGAGGCAATAACTGACTAGTCATGACAAGATTGATATGATGAACTGTTTTTGCCCATTAATGTTTCAGCTGAGATTCCTTCAAGTCCAACCGTGGAAGGGGTGTGTCCCACACCAGGATGTAATGGCCTGGGTCACGTCACTGGACACTGGAAGACTCATTACACGTAAGCTACATCTATATGCAGGAGGAGGGTGGGGCGGGTGGGGAAGTATTACAAAATGTTGCACGTATCACGGAAAAACTTTGAAATTGGAGAGGGTTATTCAAACCTTTACTAATGAGTTTAAAAAGGAACTTGATGCTGGTTGCTGGTTGATGCTTGATAAGCTGGTTAAAATTCTGGTATTCATCTCTAAGTGCCTTTGGTCGTAACTTTGTGAAAGAATCTTGGTTAACAACTTGGCTTTGTGATGTAACTGATTCATATGAATAACTTTTGTAGAATGGCATACGGTGAACAATTTTCCCTCTCCTCTGAAGGGGAGACCAGTCCAGCAGGTCGTTAAGTTAATCAGTTGTGGTTTTCTCTCGCAAATCGATTGCATTGTTGTCGTATAGTTTCTGTTTCTGTTTCTGTTTTTCCAAATATTTTCGCTTTCCTTGCCCTCAGTTTCCTCTTAGACTAAAGGCATGGTAAATTTGTTGTTAAGTTCGTTATAGACATGAACAGATCTTCTCAAACTTGAACTTCTGCTAGAGTTAATAGAAGGGAAGCACACAGTTTAACTGTGCCACTGATATCTTTATCTAACGACTAGAATAGTATCCAGGCTCTAACAACTCAAAGGAATTACAATAATTCGCTGCGCCAAGAGCCACTCATATGCCTCTCTCCAGGTCTAATATCTTATTTTGTTTTCGTAGTCTGTCAGGCTGCCCAAACAATGAAGCAAACCAAGGCAAGATCTTTTCGAAGCATACCAGCAAGTCTCCCGTTTTCAAGAAAATTCCACACCTCGCCCCCAACAGTCCTCCCTCTGTCCACTCAGGTGCCAAAGCACCGGTTGGTGGAAGTATTATATCTACCCGAAGTTCTGCTAGGTAAGCTGTGTATCCTGTTGAGATCTCCTATTTGATCAGTAGCCGCATGGATGTTCACGGCTTGCAGATTCATCGAAACAGCGCTGTTCCTTCAGTAGTAGAACCTGTCTTACTGTTTGTTAACCTCGGTGAATCATTTGCACCTTTTTGGATTATAGGAAGTGCTTAAAAGGTCAACTTCAAAGTTCTCTATTGAAACTGTCATGAAATAGTTTTTCATGATCAGAAATCTCGAAGGCATGTTACACTAAGTCAAGCAACCAATTTGTTTCGAGTCGTCAGTGCATAACTACGGGTTCAAGTAAAAGTTTCTTTGTGTTCTTTGTTCACACAGGAAAGTTTTTGGTAAAGAAGAGAAACACCATGGAATGCGCCAGAAGTGTAAGTCACTCTTATTACTTACTAGTAAGTCTCTCCTTGAAGTTCTGCTGTTAGTTGTATTCAAGAATGTATAGTGTTGCTTGTGTAAGAGACGACAGTTAATTAGATTCTTTTCATACTCGGTAATTGGTATGAGGTCCAGGTGATGAGTGGCTAGTATTTGAGGGGATTCCTGAGTAGCTTCTTTGATATACAAATCATCGAACTGTTAAACTAAATTTTCCAGGGTTTCAAGAATTTATCTACTGCCTGTAATCAAGCTAGAGTCTACCATTCTGTTTTTGAGGTCCGTCAAAATGTAAAAATATTGCCTGATAACTTTGCTAAACGTTTGTGGCTATGATTTTTTTGTCGTCTCAGACGCAGACAAGGCTGTTCAGCATGTCACACCGTTCTCGTTTCCCTGGCCTTTGGGAAGCCAGTTCTCCATGATGGGTCTCAGCGAGCTGAAGGCCGCCATCAGTTTAGAAAATGACTCGGTGGCCTCCAACGAAAGGCAACGAATGATTAAGTGGACTGTGGATGACGTTATGAGTCACGTGCGCGCGCTCGGCTGCACGGAACAGGCTAAGATATTTGGAGACCAGGTACATTTTTAAGATATTTATTGCCATTACCGTGTATTGTCATTGTACATTTACAGCGTGTATTTTAAGGCGTTTTTTTCGTGGACTGTCTGTGTACCCGACCGTCATTTTGCATTGCTAGAACTCAGAATTTAGTGAAGTGGTGGCGATGAAGGTGGACGGCAGGTGTTTACATGTGTGTTATAAGCAATTCCCAGACCACTTTCAATACTTGATCCTAACTCATGCAAGTACTTTGCAGGACGCATTTCACATGTGAAACTAGTCATAAGTAACTCACCATAGAGTCTCAGTGTGGTAGAGCATTATGGTCTCAAGTGTGGTAGAGCATCGGAGAGAGGAATCCGAAGGTCCGAGGTTCGATTCCTCGTGGGGACTCAGATTTTTTCGTTGTCCTACGCTCGCAAAGGGAGGAATAACATTTTCTTAAATTCATTACATAGATGTGAATATTCAGTGCTTAAAGAAGGTGCATTACGGGTGGTATACCAGTCAAACAAATTGGTAAATTAGATCGTTTTTCTGTAGTCCTCTTCTCCCCTTACCTTGCCGAGCTTCAGCATAACGTTTATTTGTTATCTTTCAGCTGATCGACGGAGAAGCTTTCCTCTTGCTGACGCAGAACGATATCGTCAATATTCTTAAGATCAAGCTTGGACCGGCGCTCAAAATATTCAACACCATACCAAAGCATTAATTAAGTTTATTGTTCCTATCCGAAAAAGAATCAAACAATTTGTTCATCCTTGCGAAACGCCCTTACTTCCATCTTATTTCCAAAGAACGTTACAACTTACGGAAAAGATTAAAAAGGTATGCCCGCCAACGTCCATGGAGGAGAGACGGGTCGATGAAAAATGATAAATAACTTCAAGGTGAACCACAACTGGATGACAACGGAAAGCGAAAGAGTCTCATCCACTGAGGACCTGCGAGGCATTGCGAAGACACTTCCCACAGAGTTTATGTTGCTGGAGAGAGTCCTTTTGTCGACTTTGCGGTATTTAAATGGATTTGGAAGCTGCCTCAAAATTTTTATAAAGTTTGTTGTTTTATCTTTAAGCAAAGAACTCGACCCAACATATTTACTCAGTTCCAGAGTATTACGTAGAACGCAGTGCAAATTTCAGTTTTGGTCGGGTGATGTCACTCAATATTAAAAAAACAATCAAAATGGCCAACTGCAATACACGAAAAGAACAAGTCTACGAATATAGGCTTAGCACAAGTACAGTTGAACAGCGCCAGGGGAACCCTACTGTCTTGTCTGCGAATTGGAGTGGTTGTGTGTTTCGTAATAATTATCACTTTCAACCAATTAGAGAGCCAAGTAATGCTAAGCGAGACACTGATTAAATCTCGTCGCACGACAAGATATTTTAGTTGCTTGGGTAAACCTCATATTCTGACGCTATTTTTGGCATGAACACCTCAGAGAACTGAGTGCCGAATGTACATGTACATTTCCAACCAAAGAGCAGCAAGGAAAGCGTCAGAGCTACTAACGGTACATTCAGTTTTCATTTTAACACACTACAAAGTAACTACTTGATAAAAACTAATTTTAACTAGAACTGTGTTCTACTAAAATAATCTGGCGGCATTTTTAAAAACATAGCTTCCACTTCATGCAGGTTCGTGGTTTCATTTCATCGCTTTGAAACAGTTTTAGATTATTCGCATTCCCATAACCAGATTTGTCAGTTTTGTGCACCGATTACTAACGCACTAAAAAAAAATCAAGTAAATTTGACTGCACTGCAGCTTGTACTCTTCATCTGATGGGTTGGGTATCTTCTATAATTCATGGCAAGGTTTCTATTACATTATAGTCAAACACAAAGAAAGTAATTTAATTGTAAAACGCTAAAAATGTGTATGTACATTTATTTTTCATATAAACCAATTTTCATAGAAATAAAAAGAACATTGACTGAGATCTGCTTTACCGACCCAAGTCTCATTCAGCACTGAAGTAACTTCGTTAAGCAAAATAGCTCAAATTTTCCTTCAATGTTTTAGATAATCATCTCACTGACCTTTGTTTATTACCAACTACAGCAATATTTTGAAGCTTCCTATAAGTTAAAGGTAGCTTTGCGAGGCGATAGATCTGAGAATGGATCTTTGGGGGCAACAAATAAAGGGCCTGTTCCTGTTTCACTGTCGTCGATTATGAAAGTTCAAATCCTGCGTTGGCGTTGATTGCATAACGGAGCTTCTCTTTGAGTGTGCTTTTCTTCCTATAGTTGGGAAGTTTGAGCAAATTGAAACAAGTAGATGAGGTGGGTAGTCTCCCAACTGGATCACGCCGCCGGCCAACGCTGAAAAACCCGCGAAACACGCTGCCAACAGTGTCACCTTCATCCTAGGAAAAAACGAGGAGTTTTTGAATAACTCATTGAATCGATAAATCAGCAGTAACTTTACTTCTCCGTCCAACTTGAGTTGGCTGTTTGATAAAATTTTCTTAAGCTCCCAATCAGAGCGCTCAAAAACTAACTTTCTCTCTCAGCATTTAAACAATTTTGACACGTTCACAATAGGATTGAAGTTTGAAACAGTGAGCATGGCATGGAAATCGACATTAATATGTTTAACTTACAGCGAAGTCCTCTTTCAACGTTATTTGGCGACGCTCAAGAAAAATCTCTGGTAGGCTTTTTCTCAACTTCAGGAATTTTTATTTTCGGAGGGGAGGGTGGAATTAATACCGTTTGGTCAACGGGTATGAAAATCAATCAACAGCAAGAAGGGTCCTGAATATTTTCGGTCGGAGCTAAGTCAGGCAACACATAAGGTCCACTTAAGGTTAGAATTAATTCTATCGTAACTGCATTTTCTCTTTACCTCAACACCGCCGCTTGAATGGGGTATTATAAAGATGCAATTACCCTTTTAGCGTTACCACGCTCACACCCTTCTGTTCATACGTTTAGGTTTTGAGCACCGATTTCAGCAAATTTCATTGCCAGCGGAAAGCAAGAGTAAATTTCACCATCTTTACGTGCGTGGAAACTCGTGAAGATTTTTTGCCTATTTGCTCCTTCAGTTTTTCCTTTGTCCGAAGCCAAGCATCTTTGTTATCGACAATTCTGAGCAGCCATGCAACAAAACAAGCTAGCCTAAATGGTTGACGTTTTCTGGCAATTAGTAGCGATGGGCATAACAAAATTGCAGAAAAAGGCCCACCAGACGAGTTAGTCAAAGAAATCTGGCATGCTAGGAAAGTCGCTACGATGAGCGAACCGTCAAGCGAGTCATCGGATGATCTTGACTGATTTTGTACAGAGAAGTACGAAGCTAATCACGTTTTGATTAAGTAATCACTCACCTCGTCATCATTACACTCCACACATCGAACGGAGAATGGAGGCTCCAGATGAGCAAATCCCAACAACGGAGGTTTCGAGCAACTCGTAACGAACTGCGGGTAGACAAGGAGAAGTTTGTGAGCTTGAACTACTGACCACAAAATACATTACGCCCTTGCGATGTAATATTGTGGGGAATTATCTGAGCTTTCTGTTCACCAATTGACGTCCCAGTCATGAGAGTGTTAGGGTCATTATTCATATGTCTACCAAGCGGCGAATCATTTTTGAAGCTGAGGTTACCAAAGACAGGCAAGGCGAATTGTAGAACAGTGGTCAAGGATACGAAATGGAAATGAATATGAAAATTAGGGGGATAAACAGTTTATTTTACCATCGAACAAAAACTAAAAAAAACTGTATTAAACCCTAACCAAACTTAACAGGCGAACTTCTTGCTTTAGCGAGGATTATGACGAGTGAACAATGAAAACCCTACCTTAAGAAATCTGGATTTTTCGTCCTCGGAAAAGTCTTTCTCCAGTACATCCCATAACCAGTTGACTACTCTGTGATTGCTATGGTAACCACCATAGTATCTTGTGTGACGTCTACAAAATTAAAAAGGCAACAAATACAAACTTTCCTCGCGGAGTTAAACCATGGGTTGATCTAGGTTGGATAACACAACACTCATCAAAGGACAACTTACAATCGTGATAACATGATATTATTTTTCTTGTGTTAAAAAGAAAGAAATAGAGAAAAAAAGTTTGAGCTCAGAAATCTTTGCCTGAATTTAAAATAAGCAGCAGTCTCTCAAAAGGTTTATGACAGAACTTCCTAGGGTCCACCATATTGGTTCATAACCTGCGGGACTACGGTCGAAGATGAAAGATGGTTTTTTCAACTAAGGTATGCTTCCTGAAGAAAGAAGAGTAGTTAAATAAGATCATGTTTCTAGAATCGAAACTTCACTTCACTGTGACTTCAAACTTTATCTTAACCTTTTACTGCCACTTATAATCATTACGACTTACGATACCTCAAGTCACCAAGATCCATTGCAGCATTGTCACCGGAAATGAGTCTCTGAAGTTCAGGACCGGAAAACATCTGCAACCAATCATGTCGCACGATAGATTTGAAACCCCGTATAAAGGCTGCCGTTTGTTCCCGGATTTGAACACACATGCGATAGTGAGCCATCAAATGGACATAACTTATCCTGCATGAAAATATAGAAAACTTAACAGGTCAAGTTCAACGACATAAAGTGTTAATTGAGATTGATTAACAGCGAATGATGTCATATCTTGGCGCCCATTTTGGATCAATATCATTCTTAATCGCGCGGAGAGCTGTCAAAAACATTGGCCTGAAATGAACTTTCCCAGGATGAGGAACAACATTTTAGATCTTACAATAGAAAATATTGTTCTGAGCGTATGTGAGCACAACCCAACCTCGAGAAAATTGTAGCACAATGAACCTCAAGTGACACTCTGAAATTGTTCATACGACCCACAAAAACATATAGATGTTCGTACACCAGTGTATTCAGCCATTGGAAATTGAGCCATGAACAGTTGATTATGTTCTATAACTTTCCTTCATTCTGTTACTGCGAGCTCACTTTTGCAACTTTAAGCAAAAACACTTTCTTGAAACGTTGAGGATATTGTTTGTAAAAGTTGTAACGTTGAATCAAATTAGAGGTCCAAACGAATTACTTAGTGGATAGGATGCAGAACTCCACTCACTTATTATCATTTGTGACTTGAATAACATTTCCGCCTGGCATGAGTTGATGAGTGATCACCTGAACGTAACACAAAAATTAGCCAAAAAATATTCAATATTCAAATATTCAAAATAGAGACCTTGTAAATAAGCCTTCATCTTATAACGTATGTCCCAGTCTTGATTCAGAAGCCTGGTATTGAGTCCATAGATGAATCAAAAGAGAAGTTTAATAGTAACTCGGAAAAGTGTTATGGCCTTGTGATCATAATGGTTGAATATCAGATTTGGCTGAGCCAGGGAAGAAGGTTAGTTCTGGGCCAAGCAAACGCTAAGAGTTAGATCCTACCTTGCCAAGAACATCTTCGTCAAAGGAAAATGACAGTTCGAGATCTCGAACGTCGCTATCATAATGCTGAAAATAAAGAAAGAATGTCACACATAACTAACCGCTTCCTATAAGTTTGACACCAGAAGAAAGCACTCTCAAGGCTTTTTCATTTGTTATATTTAATATTAGTTAACGAATCGTGTTCACTTTTTCATTATTCTTTCACTCGACTCAGTTCTCTTACTATCAATGATTTTGAATTATTAAGTTATTCAAAATTTAATGTATTGCTAATATCCTTCCATACCGAAAAAGAAGGATTTAATGACGTAAAAGGCTATCGATGGTAGGAAGTGGGAATGGGTCTGTTCGAAAAAATAGAGTAAGGTAAGATAAGCTCACTAGTTAAGCAGAGTTCGTACTTCATCTACTCTCAGATTTTTAAATTGTTGTTATCAGCCAAAATCTCCATGCATTTTCCTATCCATGCATTTTCCTATCCATGCATTTTCCTATCCATGCAACGATGAAATCATAATAGAGAAAAACCGCACCGCAACACCGGCAACTCTGTGCCCTATTCTTTACCAACAAGGGTCCAATTTGTTGACTGTAAAAGCAGAACTTTGTCCTAATTTATTTTCAGACCCCAGGTGTTGGTCCTGTTGGGAGATCAAACCCCGGTGCTCTCTCCTAGTTGACTTACACAAGGCGGAGTTAACTTGATTTATCTCTTATAACACATGTAAATTTGAAGTAAAATGTTCATTAAAGATGCAAACCTTGATGAAGCATAAACTTTTGTACAGTGACTGATCAAGTGAAGGCAGTTCGTCTATTGAACTGTACAAACCGCTGTGCTGTCGACTAAGAATGTGGTTGAGGAAAAATGATGCAAACGGTACTTCGACGACCATACCCTAAATGGAATGAAGCATACACAGCAGGCATGAATTAGTGGCTATACAAAAAGAACACCTTAACAGTTGGCAAGTATCATTTTTTCAAAGTTGGTAACTCCAACCCACGGAAACGGTAATGGTTCTAACAAAGATGGATTTAGGTAATCTCTACTTACTTCGTACAGAGCTTTGCCCAGCACCTTACCCAAGAACTCGAACAATTTCAAATGATTGTTGTGAATAAACGATGTGCTTGACGGAAATAATCGCTCTTCCTCGCCACTGGTCATCTAGAAGTAACACGACATTATTGTTCGATTCACCAACATTCAAGTAACAGTTCTTCTAACTTAATGCAATTCAATGTCAATTTAATAGGTTTAGTTCCAAGTAAAAGCATATTGTCAGATCAATACACCGCATAAAATTAATCAATGAACATTGCACAGGGGTGGGAAGGGGGAAAAATCAAGAAATGCATGGTTTTCTAACCGTTGTAACTAGGGATGTTGCTTTTCATTTGCGACTTAAATTTCAGTCTGTCCTTGTTTACAATTAGCTATGTTATTGTTTAAATGTCAAACGGTTTAATGGACAGGAAGTGAGATGGTCAGTAAATGATCACTCCAAATTATCATGTGCTTTAGCTTAGAATCCCCCCC